TTCTTGGTTGGGTTTCTTCTAGGAAGGCATCACGTTTTCTTGGTTGGGTTTCTTCTAGGAAGGCATCACGTTTTCTTGGTTGGGTTTCTTCTAGGAAGGCATCACGTTTTCTTTGGTTAGCTTTAGCATCACGCTTATCCAAGTTGGCCTCACGTTTGTAGTAGTAGTATGGTTTGGCATCGGCGTCACGCTTTTGTCGGTTGGCTTCACGTTTGTAGTAGTAGTATGGTTCGGCATCGGCGTCACGCTTTTGTCGGTTGGCCTCACGTTTGTAGTAGTAGTATGGTTCGGCATCAGCATCACGCTTCTGTCGGTTGGCCTCACGTTTGTAGTAGTAGTAAGGTTCGGCATCAGCGTCACGCTTCTCTTGGTTGGCTTCACGTTTGTAGTAGTAATATGGTTCGGCATCACGTTTATAGTAGTAATAAGGTTCTGCATCACGTTTCTCTTGGTTGGCATCTATAGAGTCAAAATTTATAAATTAAAGATTTCAAAGATGGAAAAAATTTCAAAGATGAAATAAATTTAAACAATAAAAATTACCAGCAAACGATGTTGCTGCCAATAAAGATAAAACAACGGCAACTACTGAGAATTTCATTTTGTAATATTGAAAGAAATTATTATTTATTTTCTAAAGATGAAAAAGCCAAAGTGAGGATGGATGGAATGACTGGATAATAACAAGGGTTTTTATAGAATTTTTGCCATAAATTAAAGGTTCACTCTATTCACTCCACAAAGATGTGGTTTAGACATTTTGTTTATCAAAATATTTGTTAATTTTTTGTTTACTTTTACATTTATCAAATAATAAACAATAAGCAATGAAAATAATAAAACCAATAATCCATAAAGATTTATTTACTTTGAACAATAATAAACAATAAGCAATAAACAATAAACAATAAGCAATAAACAATAAGCAATAAACAATAAACAATACAGTGTTGTAGTACAAAGAGATAAACGTTGGTTAGAAACGAGAGATAAAAAAACGCTATTACTGCGCTCAACGGCACGGGAATTCGCTATTAAGAAAACAATTTTCTCTATAAATATTTTAGATTCAATAATTAAAAAAGCATTCGGGTCACGGGATATGACACTCTAGATGTTAACTTTGACATAAATAGATAATAAAACATATATCACAGGGTGGGGAATTTCCCCCTCGTAGTATCTTCATATAATAAATAATAAAAATAAAATTACTTATTAGATTATTACATAGGGAGTTAGCGTAGAAATTTATAAAGACAACTGACAGGGCCTTGGCTAATCAGTTTCCTGATTTATTGGGCAACGATGGGACGAGCCGTAAATTATTTTAATTTTAGCTAATTCCTTTATGTAATTAATTGTATTATAACATCCTGGAGTGAGGCTCTGTTGGTTAAAAAAAAAAACTTATTAGATTGCATATGCGTATGTAATTTAACCATCAATCCGTCAGCAAAGCGACGGTTAGAAAGTAATGAAAAAAAGAATAAAAAAAAGAAAAAAAAACAAATTAAACGCATATTTATATAAAAAACCCTGATCTAAAATTTTTTTAAAAAATAACGTTTTTATTTACGAAACGGCGAAGTATCGTAGATAGCATTCATAATTGATAAACAATACACGTATTTCTATTTTTTTTTAAATAATTAAAATAACCAAAAAAATTGTTCAACCTCGCACAAGAGGATGCCTTACATATATAATATATAGTAAATCGTCATAAGCCTTTATCATTTGCCATTATCATTATCTCCATATCCATAGCCACATTATTCATAATTTTAAAATTCATCTCTGATGGAAAGATGACAGATAGATTAGAAACTAATTTTGTCATAAAAAATTGGGCAAGCCACAAATTTTAAAAATTTAAAATACTTAGTTTACAAGCAAAAAGAATATTTTTTATGCGCAAAAACCAAAAGTTTTCTAGCCATCATAAGAATAAACACATTAATCATATTTCTTTGTATCTCATTTAATGATTAACTTAACAAGAAGTTATAAAAACATTATAATTTCGTTTTAAAAAGTTATAAAAATTTACAATTCTCACAAAAAGATGGAATTTATTTTTCTTCTTCTATCATGTGCATTATTCGCCATTGTTATTTACATTGAAGCTAAAGTTGACCACGAGAAATACAAAGAATCTCTTAAAAATAAACCATACTTTTATAAACGTAAAACTTTTGAAGCTTCTCCATACTATTATTATTATATGAGAGATGCAGATTCATCTCTATATTATTACTACGCGAGAGAAGATTTACACTGTCATTAGTAGAATTTGATTCATCAGCACGGGATTTAAAGCCATGAAAAATCATACGCATATGGGAAGCGAAGCCTCTTTATAACATAAATAATAAAAATGGCACAGTAATGTTAATATTTATATTTATTTATGGCTAAGTGTAAACAAAATCATTATTGTGCGTATTACTAGTTGTTTCGTGGCTTTATTATCGAAGAATGTTATGATTGAGATTTTGTTTTAATTATAGTTATTATGCCAAAAAGTCAATTGCAATTGCTGAAAATTTTCCGAATACAAAATATTTGTAAATGTATTTATTAATCTCGCAATTTTTACAATTTTTTTTTTCACTTAATAATTGATTTACGAAAAAAAATATAATTACATTACACGTGACGTTTGTTGTATTTACGCGTTTGATTTAGAGATGTCATTTATTTACTTGTTTATTTTATGATCTATAAATGAAATTCAATGTGCGGAATGTGCACTTAACACAAAATTCGAAAACTCCGCACATGAAAAAAAGGCATCCGCACAAATTTTCGCATATATAATTCTAAATTGTGTATATTCCGCGCGGAATTTAGGATTTGAATTTCAAGCACTGCTTTTGAGTCATCTTTTCTTGCTTTTCACTGGTTATATAAATACTTTTTTACTACATTTCATTATAGCATTAACCCTTCTATATCTTACGAACGAGTTACTAGAGTAATGGAGGATTTAGGAATTGGAATCTGTCACAATGGGTGAGTAACTTCACTAAATAATTTGTTAGTTAGATGCTTCTGAAGTTACGCTGTCACTGGGTATTAAATTAATAAGAGCTGGGGTAGTAAGGCAGTAGAGAGCTGGGTAAGACAATAGAGAACTGGAAGCACATCGGGTCATTACAGGTTACAAGCCTTATCTGTATGTCTTACCTTATATGTTATTGAACAAAATCGTGGTGAATAGGAGGCATAGATGAAGTATTTGGCGATCGACTACTAAATACTTGATCTTTGTAACAATAATAAATTACCTATTTGAACTTATTTCATAGTTTATTCACAGGTGAAAACGGGATTAGTGTATTTGGCCCAAATAAAAAGTACGTGTTAATAGTCCAGTGCAAGGACTAGACCTCTTTGAATATCTCCCACCAACATATCACAGAGTTAGATGGCATTTTGAATGGGTAAGCTGGTAGTTTCTTGTATTTATTTGATATTTGTCTTATTTCTTTATTTCTTACAAAATCTTTTCTTTTCCAGACACATCATATCATCGAAATTTTCATCATCTCTCAAGGTGATGGATATGCACCAGAAAGCAAAAAACGTGATAACCAAATTCTTCAACTTGAAGGAAGTTTTCTGGGACTGTCCTTTAATAGGTATACATTGGATAAAAGGCTCTTCTGGATTTATAGAAGAGATGTTAAAAGAAATCTGTCGTTTACACGTACAAAAAGATGTAGGGATGAGCTGTTTTAAAAGGTGGTGAGGACATTAATTGGTCTCCTAGTGAGTTATACTGGATTTACTAATTAAATACCAAATTATATATTTCTTTTCTTGTATAATGTTATTTCTTTATGCATTTCTTCTTTCTTTTATCATCATTATAACTATTGTTACTGTATAATTAATAAAGTTATATAATTAATTAAATAACTAAATAAAAATAAACTTAATATTGTTCAATATGGTTTGTTAGGTATAACTGAAGTTTCAAACTTTTACTGTTATGATAATCTTATTGCCTCAAACTCATCAACTTGTTCCTTTACATTTGTTACCTCAACCAATAATTAGAATTACTTGAAAATAATGAAATAATACCTTTTTAATTAAAGTTAGATATCTATTATAAAATTTATGATTAAAAATTCGATTATCCCACTTTTTATGATACCTGATGAAAATTTAATTTTAATAGATATGAAATAGATCTGAACCTTTTATAGTAAATGCATTATAAATTATATATCAAACTTTAAGATAAATAACGTATTTTATTCCATATTTTTAATAAATTCGATCGTTTTTATTTGGATCTAAGTAAAGTCGGATTTGCACTAGATACTATAAAAAGCGATTCTAAGTAAAATTGTAGATCTTGTTTCTGGCTACAAGTTGGTATAAGATAGTTGTATCTGTCTTATATATCTATTGAATCCGTGGGACTAATGATCAATGATCGGATTTATTATTTTGGGTCAATTTTATTTGAAATGTAATTATCCTGTTTTAACAGAGGTAAAAAAAAAAAATTTATGCAATTTAAATCTCGCCCGGTAACTTTACTGTATAATAATATAACTTTTTTTAAAAGCAGATCAAAAATCGCTAGAAAAAAATTTATCTTCTGCACACATCTTACAAGTAATCCTCAAAAATTTTGATGGACAATTATAAAAATGTAAAAATTAAGTAAAAATATAAATTACCATCTCTATCCTAACATACCCGCCTACTCGCAAATCCTAATGGCCAAATTTTTTAAATTGTCATTCAAAAATGTTTAACTAACAAATTCATTTGTTTAAAAACATTTATTTTTTTCAATAAAAAAATTATCTCAATAAATATGTTCTAGAAACTTTCTTAATGAGTCAAATATTTCTATTTATAGAAATTATAACATAAAATATTATAACATAAAATTATTCAAAAATCACGCCTTCGAGATTTCACCACTTAAATCTAAATGTCGTCATTAGTTTTAAAAACAATTTGTGAATGTTCATGCAGGATATTACGCAATTCTAATTGAAATTTCCGTTTTTTTTTTTTTTTCCGATCGAGAATACCAAGTTTGGTAATAATCATCATGATAAATGATTTTTTTTTTCGTATATATATATAGCGTTTTAAATTTTTTCTTTTTTTTTTCTCGGCGATTTTATCATTTTAGAATTTTTTTTTTTTTTAAAAAATAAAATAATGGCTAATACTCCACATGGTGGTGTTCTTAAAGATGCGCATGTCCGAGATGCTCATAAATATGATGAATTATTAAAAGAATCAAAAACATTACCTTCAATTGTATTAACTGCTCGACAATTATGCGATTTGGAACTTATCATGAATGGAGGTTTCTCTCCATTAGAAGGATTTATGAACCAAAAAGATTATATTAGGTGAGAATATATTTTAATTATATTATTAAATTGAGTTTATATAAGAATGTATGAAAACAATGAAAACAATGGAAACAACGAGGACAATATAATTAAAAGATTTTATTCCATTATTTTCATTGTTATTTAATGATCAGTGTTGTAAAAGATCTTCGCTTATGCAATGGGTGTCTGTTTTCTATACCGATTACCCTTGACGTATCTGAACATCATATAAAAACATTAGAACTTGCACCCAATAAACGTTTAGTATTAAGAGATCTTCGTGATGATGAACCGTTGGCGATCATAACTATTCAAGATATTTATAGTCCAGATAAAGTTGAAGAAGCCAGAGAAGTTTTTGGCAGTAATGATCTCGAACATCCTGGTGTAAAATATTTACATACCGAGGTTAAAGAATATTATATTGGAGGAAATGTAGAAGCAATCCAAGCACCCACACATTATGATTACGTTGCTCACAGGTGTAAGTGATAAATAAATTATAATTTTTTCTTCAAATATCAAACATTTACAGAAATTCTAAATCATTCAATTTATTAAATAAATAAATTATTTTTTAAATTTTTTATTATATAAAATAGTTACTCCAGCAGAACTTCGCGCTCATTTCAAAAAACTTAATTGGACTCGAGTTGTGGCATTTCAAACTCGGAATCCTATGCATAGAGCACATCGTGAATTAACAGTTCGTGCGGCAAGAATTCGGCAAGCAAATGTTCTTATTCATCCAGTAGTTGGTCTCACTAAACCTGGTGATATAGACCATTACACTAGAGTAAGAGTATATCAATCTTTAATGCCTAAATATCCAAACGGATTGGCTACTCTTGGTTTATTACCATTAGCTATGAGAATGGGTGGACCTCGAGAAGCTCTTTGGCATGCAGTTATTCGAAAAAATTTCGGAGCTACACATTTTATTATTGGCAGAGATCACGCGGGACCTGGAAAGAATTCAAAAGGCGACAGTTTTTATGGAGACTATGAATCACAGGTAATTAAATTATACGAATTATACGTGACAGGATGATAATGTGATTCAATGTTGGAATTATATGTATAAATTTACTAAATTTTTTGATTGTTTAATTAGGAACTAGTAGCGAAATATAGAGATGAATTACAAATAGAAGTTGTTCCCTTCCAAATGGTGACTTATATTCCGGATTCTGATGAATATATGCCAGTTGATGAAGTACCAGAAGGTGCTACTACTTTAAATATTTCTGGTACAGAATTACGACGTCGATTGAGAAGTGGAGCACATATTCCAGAATGGTTTTCATATCCAGAAGTAGTTAGAGTACTTCGGGAAACTCATCCTCCAAGATCAAAACAAGGATTTACATTGTTTCTAACGGGATATTATAATTCCGGAAAAGATCATATTGGAAGAGCATTACAAGTAGTATTTAATGAACAAGGTGGAAGGCCAGTTAGTTTATTATTGGGAGAAATTGTGCGTCATGAACTTTCATCTGGTAAGTAAAATAAATTAATTTCAAAAATAATTTTAATTAATTTTAATTGACTTTAATTAATTTTAATAGAATTAGGATTTTCAAAAAAGGATCGTGATTCCAATATTGGACGTATTGGATTTGTATCTGCTGAACTTACTAAAGCTGGAGCCGTTGTTATAGCTGCACCAATTGCACCATTTGCCGAAGCACGTTCTCATGCCCGAGGACAAATTGAAGCGTATGGTGGATTTTATCTAATTCATGTGAATACACCATTAGAACATTGTATTGTTACTGATAGAAAAGGGATATATAAGGTAAATATTTTTTTAATAATATCTAATAATTTAATAATTTCTAATTAATTATAATAATTTTAATAATTAATTTTTTTTTGAATTTTTAGAAAGCACAATCTGGAGAAATCAAAGGTTTTACAGGAGTTGATGATCCATATGAAATACCTACAGATGCAGATATTGTGGTTGATGTTAGTAAACAAAGTATTAGTGAAATTTGTCATCAGATTTTATTAATGTTGGAAAAGGTATATTGTTGTTATATTATTTTAATGATTTTAATGATTTTAATGATTTATTGATATTTATTATTTTTTTTTTGTATTATATTATATTATTAGGATGGCTACATTGGTGAAAGATGATTTTTTTGTAAAATCTAATGTATAATAAAAAATTTTATTTATTTATTTATTTATTTTTTTTTTTGTATGGGAGGGGGATTTTTCACAATAATTCTTAATAAATAATAAAACAAATACAAGTATAGAATAATCTATTTTTTCATATTTATTAAATGTCAGCATTTATTCTGGTTGAGATTTTCAGTAACTACTTAATTATATTTCTAGTAAAACATTTAAATTACTCTTTTATCATCTCTTTTTCATTTACTTCTACAACTACAAATAATTCACAAGTCCAATGAGCTGCTTTCCTGCTAGATCTGTAATGCTCGTCTTCAATTCCTTCACGCATCTTAATTCTAGGTGCGCTACTTGGTGATGTATCACTTTCAAGTTCTTCAATCTTTGTTTTAGAGTTTCTTATTTGATTGAGGAGAGGTATATACCAATGGCAAATTGATTACTATATTCATTTGTTTTAAAGACTTTGCTTTAGGATTATTTTCAAATGTTGTTTTGTTAACATTAGATACTATTGGAGATTTAAGAGACTATGAAGAACATTGATACCAATTTGTTCTTAAGAGAACCAGATCAAAGGTGCATAAATTTTTTTGTTCTATTATAAATAATTTCGAATTAATCTATTTTGTGATTTTTTGTAACTTTATTAAAAAAAACTTCGGGTGCCTATATTAGATATGAAATTTAAAAAAAAAGAAAAAAGGAAATAATTTTACCATTGACCTTCAGTATTTAAATAAGTCTTAATTACCTATAATAAAAACTTTTATTTGATTTTAAAAATATTTCTCAAAATTCTAAGTTGTTATTTTTTGCTTTAAGAAATCATAAATTTTCGTTACTAAAAGACTTTTTTCTTATCTCTGGAATATTGTTTCTAAGATAGAATTTTTTTATGATAAATTACTTTTATTAAATATGCTCTCGAGGAAAGAGCCAAAAACTTCAGAAAGATATCTAATAAATAAAAAAATTAGTATTGTATTATAAAATTATAAATAATAATATATCATTATTATCATTATTATTTTTAAAATTTACTTTCTAGAAGTCCAGTGTTTTATGTATAAATGTCATCTCTAATATTATTTAATATTATTAAAAAAATTTTTTTGCATAAATTTCTGATCCATTTTGAATGACTCTATATTATTAATTGAAACTTTGGCTTTATATATCATCTTGAAGAATATTTATAAAATTTCAAGGATTAAAAAAATTTTGATAATGTGGCATTTTGATAATATTCTGTGATGTTATTTAGTCGAAATCCTTTTTTTTTTTGAGCTATCCAAAAAATTCAACCTCTCCTTTCAGGTAAACATTCACTTGGCTTATAATTTATTACTATTTCTAGAGTGATTATTACTACCACAAGTTGCACACGTCATGATATTCTGAAGAAAGATTAAAAAAAAAAAAAATTAGAATAGATCAAACATACATTAATCAAAGAATCATTAATTCCTGTTATTATCTATTTACTTTTTACAATATATGATGTGTCGTACAGGAGGGGTATCTTTATAGAGGGTATTTAATTTATGTTAGATATTGTTCCGAATACAGTATTTAGGTAAATATACCGAAATGATGGCCACGGTCACCTGAGAACTTTTCAATAATAATAAATATTCACCATAATCATCATCTCTTTTTTAAAATAAAAGAATATTAGCCAAAAATAAGAATATATATTTTTTTTTTAATTTTTATTTTTAATTTAGAAAAACAAATAACTAATGTAATTACATTTCACATAAATCGTAAAAACAATAATAAATAATCCGGCAATCATGGCAACTAGTAATAATAATGATAATAATAATAATAACAGGTCAGGTACACAGATACCGTTTTCTGCATATTCTGATATTTCTTCCGGTGTCCGTTCCGAATTTTCTGATTTTCTTCACAATAATAATAACAATAATAATAGCAATGATAACACAGAATCAGTTCTCTCTGGAACATCAACATATGATTTTCCAATATTTGGCAATTCGGTTTCTTATCGTTCTAATAATAATGAAGAAGAAGAAAGTTCATCATCATCAGGTGAAGGAGGTAATGATGATTATTTAGAAAATTTACATGATGGTATTAATAATAATATTGGAAATAATGGCAGAAGAGGAGAAGGAGGATTGGGTGGTGGTGGTGGATTTGGAGGATTTGGAGGATTAGGAAATTTTGGGAGTTTACGATTTTTAGGTGGAAGTAATAATAATAATCATTCTAATCCTAGAGGAAGAGGAAGTATAAGAGGTAGAAGTAGAGGAAGAAGTACAAGAGTAAGAGCCGGTAGAGGAATTACAATATTTGGAGTAGATCAACGAGATCTTAATCATCGTCGAGGATTATTTAGAGTGAATCGATTTAATAGAATAGGTGAAAGGAATATTGGAAATGGAATTCAATTTGGTAGAGGAAATAATAATAATGAGAATATTAATAATATTAATAATGTAGAAGTAATAGAAGAAGAAGGAAGATTTATAGTAAATCGACTTAGACATTTAAGAGCAAAAGTTTTAAGGTTTAAACGACGAATAATCTGGAATATTTTATTTTATTGTCAACTATATTGTGATTTAATTGATTATTTAGTACAAATCCTTATTAATTTGTCTCTTAGAGTTATGGATTATATTAGAGGTAATTATTTTATTTAATTATTTTTTTATTTATTTAATTATTTTAATATTAATATTTAATTATTTATTATTTAATTATTTTATGATGATGATATTATTTTTAATTTTTAATATTATTAATTAATTATTTTAATACTATTATAATATTATTTAATTATTTATTAAATATAATAATAATAATAATAATATTGAAATAATGATAATAATTAATAATAATAATAATTAATAATAATAATAATAATAATAATAATAATAATTAACTAAATTAATTAATTAATTAATTAATTATTAGTAAATGGGCCAAAATTATTCAAAACAATCGAATGGATTTTAATTTTCATGTTTATATTTTGGATGACACTCGATATGCAATTATTACCGGATAAATTTACACATTCCGTATGTTATCATTCACCTACAATAATTACTCAAGCATTTTTATCTCAATGTAAAAATTATGTTATTCCCAATTTTTCTAAATTAATTGATAATCAAATTTCGATATTTCAAGAATTATCAAAAATTTCTTCTACTACTTCATCATCATCATCTTCATCTGATTTATCTTATTTAATAGATTTTGAAATTGCTCATAAATTAAGAATTATTTCATTAGCTCATGATATACAAGAATCAGTTTTAACTACTAGAGATTTAACTAGTATAATCAAATCTCTTTTAATTAATAATTATAATAATAATAATGATGATAATGATAATAATGATAATAATGATAACCCACTTTCAATTGCTTATTCTTATTATTACAATCCTCCCACTGCTTTTTTTACTCCCACTACAATCACTTCATCAATTACTTCATCATCAATTATTCCTAATTCAATTCCCACAAGCTCAATTATTAAATCATCACCAATTCTCACAAGTTCATCATCATCATCACTTTCATCTAAAGATATTTCAAAATTAGAAACGGAAATTGTTAAGGAATTAATAGAATACGCGGATGATGGTTCTGAAGTTTCCAAAGAATTAAGAAGTTTACAAAATAATGTTCAAAATACTTTGGAATTTACAGTTAATTTTATAGCTTTATCAATAAAAAATTTAGATCATGTTATAGAAGATAATTTCAATCCTGAACAATATCAAAAATTAAAGGAAATGCAAAAGATGAAAGGAGATGATTTAAATAAAGCAATCTTTCCTATTGTTTCTTCTCTGTCTTTTATTTCTAATAATAATGATGATGTTAATGTTAATAATAATAATAATAATAATAATAATAATAATGTCAATAATGAAGATAATATTATTAAAATTCAAGGAAAACAATTGAGTTCTAGACAATACAGACAAATTAGAGATATTTATAAAATTCTTTTAAGAACGACAAATGAGAATTTAAAGAAATTATTTTCAGAAGCTATTACTGCTTACGATGGGTACTTATAATTTATTGATTTATTTATTTTTTTTATTTTGATTAATAATTTATTTTATTCACAATTAAATTTTATTTTAATTAAAAATATTTAATTAATTATTTATTATTAATTAATTAATTTATTTATTTATTATAGATTACGAGATGTTGATAAATCCAAAAATACCATAATCCTATTATTAACAAAATATATAAAAATCCATCATACACAATCTGATTTAGATTCAAATATATTATCAACCATATGGTCAATATTAATTGGTAATAGTAATAATAATGATAATAGTAAAAAACTACAACACCAATTATTTAAAAATACATTAGAATCATTTATCAAGATTGAGGAACAACAAAATTTAGTTAGTGAATATATAAAGAAAATTATAGAAATTAGTAGGGAACATCAAGAAAAATTATTAAGATTACAAGAAGAAGAACCTGGTGGAGTCATTGAAATCATTGGTGAAATTGATGATTATAATAATATTCATAATCCCTCATTCTTGAAATTTATGAAAGATGTCATTTTTAAAGATAGTAAAAAGATTATTGATTATTGGAATTATAATTGGAATAATAGATGGAATAATAAATGGAATAATAATAATAATGACAATAACAATAATAACAATAATAATAGTAATAATAATGATGATAATAATAATAATGAACAATTGAAAGAACATTTGATATACATGAAAAAACAATTATCAAAAGTAAAGAAAGAATATGATTATTATAGATTTGGTGGATATGGTAATGATGGTGATTAATAAATATTTAATATAATATGGTGATTAATAAATCATTGATAATAATAATAATAATAAACAATTGGTAAATAGAGCAACAATAAAGTATTTAGAGAGTATAGAGTCAAATAAATGTAAAGATTACATTATAATTAAGATAATAATTTTTAATAATTTTTTATTATTTTCAAAACATTACATTATAAAGAATATAATTATTATTATAATAAAGTATTTAATGTAATAAATCATTCTCGTATTACTTGATCTATTAAATTAAATACTATAAATTTATTGTTCCATTTTCATTGCTTTCATTGCATCCACATTATCACTCTTAACACAATTACTCTTCACGTAATCACTCTTAACATAATCACTCTTAACATTATCACTCTTAACATTATCACTCTTAACATTATCATCATCATTATCAATATTATCATTATTATCAAATCGACTATCATCAAAATAATAATAAAAATGACGATAATTATCAAGATTATCATCTCGTTTCGTTGGTTTATAAACATCCAAAAATACTTTTCGTTTTAATTCCGAAGGTAAATATTCTTGATGAACAATTCCTTCATAATCTGGATTATATTTATATTCTTTTCCAAATCCAAATTCCTATTAAATATATTTTATATTAATATTCATATTAATATTTTGTAATAATATATTCAATTTAGTAATAATATTTATAAATTTTACCTTCATCATTTTTGTAGGAGCATTTCTTAAATGTATAGGAACTGAATGAGCATATTCTTCTTGAATTGTTTGCTTTACCAATTTATATGCTATATGAGATCTAATACTCTTTGGTGCTTCAGCTAAATACGTAACACAATGTGCCAAATTAATTTCACATTCTGGAATACCGATAAATTGACATGCTTGATATGTTGATGTGGCCTTAAATTATTAATAATATATTATTAAGTATTTTAAATATTTACTACATTTAATATATGATATGATATTTATTTACTACATTTTAACTCACCAATACAAGTGCATTATTATCAGCAACTCCAATATCTTCTGATGCAAATATAGTTAATCTTCTTGCTATGAATAAAGGATCTTCTCCTGAATTAAGCATTCTTCCAAGCCAATATAAGCTGGCTAATTTTTTTGATATATAAAATAAATTAATTTTATTAATTTTATTATCAATTATTATTATTAAATAACATAAAATAATGTAAAAATGATAATATAAATTATATACCATTTGCATCACTATAGAGTTAAAATGTATAAATATTAATAAATTAATAAATCAATAAATCAATATAAATATAACATGAAATATACATGGATAAAACCTAAACATATTTATTACCTTCCTCTAAGACTTTTAATAAAAGCACTAACAATATTATAATGTTCATCTCCATTTTTATCATATGGTAAATGAGATTTTTGAAATATTTTCATAATATCTTCTTTACTAATTTGGTTGTTGAATTTTCCCTGTAAAGAAAAAGGGGATGATGATGATGATGGTGATGACGGTGAAGGAATAGTACTCAAAACTAAAGCTATTTCCAATTTATTCAATGCTACTCTTGCTGAAAGAAAGAAAGAAAGAAAGAAATTCAATTATTACATATTCTTTGCTTACTCTTACTAAAATCAATTAATATTTATAAAAATATATTACCATCTCCATCACTCATATTTGCCAAGAATCTTAATGCATCATCAGTCACAATATTCTCAATATTCCCAATATCCCCAATATTCATCATCACGTTGGGTTCATTATTGTTATTAATATCATTATTAACATCACCTTCCTTAACTTTTTCTTGATCAAATTGAATTTTTTGAATTGCTCTTTTTAAGATATCATATACTTCATCAGGTGATAATTTATTCAATTTACAAATCATACATCTACTCAATAATGTTGAAATTAGTTTGAATGATGGATTCTCTGTTGTTGCACCTAAAATATAAATACATACAAATATAAATATCAATATCAAATATCAATATCAGGTAATATAAAATAATTATTACCTATTAGTGTGATATCTCCTGATTCCATATGTGACGCTGATATTTAAACATAAACAATAGATTCAATTAAATTGATTGAATTAGATAGATTTAATATAAAAAAAAAAAAGAAACCCACAAAGCAAGTCTTGTTGTCCTTTGTTGAAACGATGACTATTTATATAGTAAATATAAAAAATGAATTATGCAAAAAACCATTACATTACAAAAATCACACAAATAAATAAATGAATATACATTTCATCTATAAAGATAATTGTTTTTGTTCCCGGAATTAATCTTTTTGCATTTTTGGCATCATTAAATGCTTTTCTAGAAACATTTAAAAAAATATATTAGTAAAAAAAAAAAAAAAAATTTTTCATCATAAAAATAGTAACTTACTTGAGATCTTCAGATACTTAAAATTTTAAAAAATAAAATAAATAATGTTTATTAATATTATTATTAACAAATATAATTAATAACATTAACATTTTAATAAAATTAATTAATAATTTTTTATTTTCAATTTACCATGAGTAATTCCAGAAAATTCTTTGAAAATTGATTTAGTTGAATTCGCTATTATCTTATTGTTATTATTTGAATATAATCCAATAAGTTAATATAAAATAAAATAAAAAATTTGATTCAATAATAGATTTTTTTTTTTAAAATATTAACTTTGGCTAAAGTAGTTTTTCCAGTTCCTGAAGGTCCCCATAATATCATTGATCTAATATAAATAAATTTAGATGGATTAATCACATTCAAAATAGATTAATATTAAAAATAATATTGAAAAAGATAATTACGGTATTTTATCACACATAATAAGAAATCTTAATAATCCATTTTCTCCCGCTATTCCTTGTTGACCAACAAATGTGTCTAAACTATTTGGTCTCACTATACATGTATATATTGATTATTAAATATCTTATATCAAATTTAGGTGTATGTATATTCACAAGATATAGATAATATTATATACCACTAGCAGCTAATGGAATATTATTATTAACAACATGTTTAGTCTTGATTTGTTTATTTGGATGTGATTGTGGTGATGATTCTTCTCTTGTTGTTGCCACTTTTGACCAAAATTCTGTCATCCTCTTGTTATTAATAACTCCCTTCAAAATTTATAATTATTGTTATTATTATTATTATTAAAAAGCATTAACAGACAGTACAGTAATTAATTTTTTAAATTAATTAATTAATCAAATGAAATTAATTATTTTTTATTCGTGTTTAAAAAAATCTTACTTTTGATTTAGGAGAAGTTCTGGGGCTTTTATTTGTCGCCATTTGAAAAGAATCAAAATAGTAATCAAAATAACTTTTATTGCTGATAGATAACAACTAGTGTTGCGGTGGCACAGGGACAGTCTTTGATAAAAGCTTGGACATTTTTTTAAAATGCTTGACAGAAAATATACAATACTGGTATTTTGTCAAATTATACTGACTGTGACTGACCTGACTGAATTCGTGAATTTATTACATAATTTAAATAAAATAAAAAATTTATTTCAATTATTTTATTTATTTATTTAATTCCATCACAATTTACAATCTGTAAATTTACATTCTAAAATTTACAATTTACTTTTAGAACTTTTAGTTTCTTTAAAATCGCCAACTCTATTAATTTGAGTATCTTTTATTTTAGGATTATTTTCTTTATTATTATTATTATTATTATTATCTTTATCACTTAAAACTTGTTCCATAATTTCATCGGATTTCTTAACTATTTTATCTTTCTGTTCTTTAGCTCCTTCATCATGTTTTTCTTTTTCACCTATTCGAATAAGTAAATATAAAATATCAATAAAATTTAAATGAATAATTATTCCTCTATAAAAAAATAATCTTTGATTTTTTATACCATTTTGAACAGAAGCAGCATCACGCTCGGAAATTCCAGCTTGTTTCTCGGCTTTTCCTTGTTCTGCTAACTTTTGACTTCCAATCACTTTTCCAATTTTCTCTTTCGCGACTCCTGTATAATATTTTTGATCCCCTCTAATTTTTGATGCTTTACTTGATGGCATTTCTATTATTTTTTATTATATACTATTGATTTATTTTCGTCGAAGATTTTTATTATTTTTTTTTTAAATAAATAATTTTGATTCATTTAAATATGGAGAGTGGATTATATTTATATGAAAAAAAATAATGTCACATTTAACGTCATAGCTAAGTCATAAATAATGAAAAACGAGCATTTCATAATTTCATAATCAATTCGTCATAATTCAAATTAAAAAAATGCCATTGTCGTGTCAAATATAATCATCAGACCTAAAGAAAATCTTAGATAATATATAATTCCCTTTATGGGTTAGTGATATTGCTACTTTAACCAGGCGTTTTTTATATTATAATAACTAGTTTTGTTATGAAAAATATCTGTAATAATGCTGATCTATCCCTGTTCAGATGAAAAGATACTTCAAGACACACTTTTGGTAAATTAAGACCATGTTTTTTGTGCACGGTTGAGGCAAACCATTTTTGTCGTCTGATCGACCTCTTCACCCATAGCCTTCTGATTTAGTTAGATAAGTTATCACGATCTTATGAAATTGACTAAAATTTTATAATATAAAGGACTTTGATTCTAAGGGACGACTTCGAATGGATTTTTATTTTGAAAATAAATATAGATTATTTTAAAAACAGACCTAATGTTTTTCCGGACACAATGAATACAATTTATTAGTCGAAATCGTCGTTACTTTATGATAAATTCATTTGTATTTCGTTCATAGAGCACATTGTGTATAATTTCTATAATAATATAACAATGGATTTTTATTTTACTTTGAAATATTATATCTATCTTCTTTTTTTGAGAATAAATAATGGAATTTGAATACAAAAGCCAAAAAGATTTATTGTAAAAATTGTTTTCGATAATAATGGTGGTAACGATAATTAAGAAGAATAGCTTGGCACGTTAAAAATGAAATTCACATAATATATTTGTAATATATCATCAAGAAAAAAGTATGTAATATAAAGATTATTTATAACATTTATAAATATTATAAGTATCGCAATTTTTGGAAATCAATAAAGTTTAAGAAATAAAGTGCGAAAAAAAAAAACTAAATCTAATATTTCATAAATAAATTTGACAGTTAATAGCAATGCAAAAAAAAAGGTCGTAAGTTTTAAATGCAATAAATAACACGATATAATATGTTATAAAATGGATCGGAGTTGTCAAAAGGCTAAAAATTTCAAATGAAGATATTTAGCAGCAAAAGAAATATTCTAATTTGTGAAGACTTGAAATATTCCTATTCATTTATTCAGTTAAATTTGGGATTTAATTATTGCGTAAAATTTATTTATATAATCACTCGAATATTTGTTTTACTCTTTCTTTCCTTTTTTTTTTTTTATAAAATTGTAAATATCAAAAATTTTATAATGATGATGAACTTTAGAAAGAAATCAATATTTCATGCTTAAGTTTATTATTTGAAGTAGTTATTATAGATTTTTAAAAAATAATACCATATATTTAAATGAAGTAAATATTCTATTAATAATAAGATTTTATTTAAGATGTATTACAAAAAAAAAAAATAACAAAGCATATTAAAATAATGAAATAAAGCTATATATACTAAATATTCAACAAATGATGGTTGAAACAGCAGCTTGAACTAAACAAATAAAATTCATAATTTAATTGATCAAGAAATCACAATTACAGTTGAAAATAATGATAAAAATTATAACAATGATCCATATACAAAAGTGAATGATGAAATATTAAATATTAATCCGATTATTAATAAAAATAAAATAAATAAGTAAGGATTTTAAGTATTTAACTAGCTAATTATTTTTTTCTGGTACTCACCTCGTGATAATTCAAACTAATTTAAAAGAAATGAAGAATGAAAGAAAAATAGAGAGTAAGAGAGAGAAGAAGGATAAGTGAGAAGAAGGATAAAGAGAGAAGGATAAAAGAGAGTGGCAAAAGAGAAAGGATAGAGGATAATAAAGGAGACAATATTACTTATCCAATTTCAAAATCTTTTATATTGGTTTCAATTTCTTTGGTTTGGCAGAATTCGTAAATAAGTAATTTCAGCAGGATCAATATCACTTGATCTCGAAATTGTAGTTATTTAAAGTAAATGATATTGATTGTTGAATTTATTAATTATTTAAATTATTTAAATAATTTTATTTTTTAATTATTAATTAAATTATTTTTTTAAAAATTAGGTAGATTAAAAAAAAATAAAGAAATAAGAAAATTACGAATACACATGAAAAAAGATTGAAAATCGAGGAGTAATTATTATTTTGGTAAAAATATATTCATATTAATTTGTAAACATGAAAAAAAGAATACACCAGCAATAATTATCAAATAATTAAAGTTCGTTTAAAAAATTTATTTTTTTTTTTTTTTCATTCACATGAGAAAGAGGAAAAATCGAGGAGTAATTATTTATTTTGTTAATAAATATTTATATTTATTTGTAAACATAAAAAAAGAATACGTATACAATATATCAATAATAAAGTTTAACAAATAATCGTTATGAAAAAAAAAAAAAAAAATTATTTTTTACTTTTTTTATTTTTTTTATTTATTTTACAAGTAGTAAGTAAAATATTCAAAAATTATATCCTTTGGGTGGGTGAGGGTTATTCTTCTGAATGGTATCGAGTACGGTGTGTTCTCGATCGCGCACTCGATAAGTATTCGATTAAATATTACGATTATATTAAATTCTTTTTTTTTCAGTCACGAAAATCTTCCTAAAAAAGTGACAAAATCTTTTTTGGTTAGGTTCACCAATTGGACGAAAACATTTCATGCCGTGGGTTTACCGAAAAAGGGGGCAAGTTGTTATTACATTTAGTGTATATTCTTTGTAAATAATATTATCTCAACAAGGAATTTAAAAAATTGTTTAAACTGTATTAATAAATAAATTTGATTAATAATAAATATTATTAACATCGAAATATTAATTGATGTTTAGTTCTTCATGCCATTTGAATACCATTTGTTTTATTGAACGACAAGGAGATAACACATAATAAGAACAAATGTTTCACTAAATTTAAATATATAGAAAGTTAAATACACCAGACTAGAATCTGAACCAAGCGAACAAAATGCCTAAATTATGTCCAGAATGCAATCAAGAATATAATGATTATTAGTGCAAACCGTGCAACTCAACAAGTTTCAAAAATGATTTTAATCAATGGACAAGCGAAAATTTCATAATAGATAAATTTATTCAAGATACTCAACTAAATGCTGATTAATATTTTAAAGTAATAGAATTTATATCTTATGAAATATTTCAAGATATTAAACAAATGACAAAAGGTGGTTATGATACTATTTATTATTCTAAGTTGGTTGATGGATTTATTAAATACTGGGATATTAAAAATCAAAAATGGCAAAGGGAAGGTCGTGAAGTAATATTAAAAAAGTTTGATGGTATTGTAGATATAAATGAAGTAAAGTAATATTTTTTTTAAATTAATATGTAACTTTATTTGGAAATGTTTAATATATTAATTCTAATTTTTTTTTTTTTTTAAAAAAAAAAAAAAAATATGTTATTTAGATGACAATTCTCTTGAGAAAAGGTAATAACATATCATCAACTATATTTTATAGAAGATTCAGAAACTCACGAATATCTGATGGTTTCACGATATTTTGAAGGTGAAAGTCTTAGAAATTTTTTAAGAAATAATTTTAATAATATCAATTGGTTTAGTAAACTATACTATTTAAAAGTTTTAGTTGATAAATTTTTTTCAGGAATTCACAAATTAGATATAGTTCATCGTGATTTTCATCTTGGAAATATTTTAAAATATTCATCAAGTAACTATACAGTATATCAGATTTTGATTTGAGTAAATTAATTACAGAAAACATAAAAATACAAAATCTCCAAAAGAATGCCACTTCTGGAGTATTACCCTATAAAGCTCCTGAAGTATTAACTGAAGGAGAATATACAAAGGCTTCTGATGTTTATTCATTTGCATTTGTTGTTTATGAATTAATTACTGGATTTTCCCCATATCATGATGTGTCGCATAATAAAGATTTGGCTTTTAAAATATGTAATGGATTTCGAACAAAAATTCCATTTCAAACACCTAAATTAATTAGAAAAATAATTATGCGATGTTGGGATGCTCGAATTGCACATCGACCTACTTTTAAAGAATTAAGCGAAGAGTTGTTTAAATACTATGAATATTATTGTGAAGATTATTGTAAAAATTATTGTAAAGATGAATGTGAAAATAATAACGAAATTACAATTCAAATTAAAGAAGCTGAAAATTTTTCCAAAAATCAAACAAAAAATCAAGCAACAACTACAACTTCAATGGATTATAAAACACATCCTCAAGCAATTTATACTAGTAGACTTCTCAATTTTTCAAATCTTCCAAAACCTAAAAATGAAGAAAATTTTGAAAAAGAACTTGAAGAATTAACATCAAATAGTATAAAATATTATACTTTGTTTTAAATATTCATTTTTTTTTCATTTCATAATTAATTATTTATATTTAATTTATTTTTATTTTATTTTTTTTATTTTCTATTAAGTGATGGTGATTTGATTTATAAAATTTTATTTAACGTTATATATTATTTATTTGTATTTACTTATTAACTTAAAAAGCATGTTTTATTATGAATTCAAATAATTTAGTTTGTAATTAAGATTTTTTTATCAAATAAAATATCAATAATGAGTTAATTTATTTAATTGCTTTAAATATCCGTATTTCTCCCAGATAGGAAAAGTTACATTCTTTTCCTGAAAAGGAAACATGTAATTAGTTCTTCAATTTATACAAAAGATTATAATTATAATTGTCAACAAAGTATGTAATACTGTATATATTTATAATATACTCGGGTAGATCATCAATCTTTGGTATTAAAATTTGCTTTCTTTTATACAGAGACAATGTTCAAGTACATTCTATACTATATATAATATGTTAAATAATGTCAGGGTAATATAAGAGTATAAAAGTTTGAAATTATTTAATACAATTTATAAGGAAGCTTCTAGATATCTACTAGCAGCAATAATATTTCTGTTAAGATTCGAATTTTTAGGTAATAGTAGAAGGGGTTCTCTATGCTAAAGGAAGTGATGAAAAAATATATTTTATAGAATAATATAATTTATTAATCAATAATATTTAAAAAATTTCAGGCGTTAGTAGAGAAGATGATAAATTATTTATAAAAAGATTTTGAATATTAAGATAATGTTTTATGATGATAATAATAGTAGTAATAATTAGCAAAACTGAACCCCGAAATGATATGTTACTAACAGTACAGTTGACCAAAGAGATTTTACTATGTAGAAGTAATGATAATGTTAATAAGAAAACAATTTCATTTTTTTTTTGTTTTTATGATACAAGAAATTGTTTACTTAGTGAACTTGATTTTAACGTGAAATTTAATTATGATGTTTTCCAAAAAATTTCTAAATTTCGGTCATGTAGAATAACAATTGAAGCAGTAGTAAACTATTAAGGAGTTCAATATTTATCATTAAAACGTTTTAAATAACACTTTTCTAAATCCATCAATTAATTTCCGATTAATTAATCTCTTTTCATCTTGTTTATGAATACGCGTTTAAATAACCCTGTAATTCTTTATATACTCTATGTAATCTGTTCTTGAAATCTTCAATACTAATTTGCAATTGATCAAAAACAACTTTTATAATTATTAATAATCGTTCTTTTAAAACCTTCTTGTTCAGGCATAATTTTCTTTATTGCTTCAAAATTATTATTTTCTTTCTTCTTTTTATGTTTATTATCTTTATTATCTTGTTTTGGAATAATATTATTTTTGTTTAGCGAAATTAAAATACAAAATAAATCACCACTCTTAATTATATCATAAATTAAAATACAAAATAATCACCACCCTTAATTATATCATAATTCAGTAATTATCCTAATAAATCATCTATGAAATAAAAAAAAAGAAAAATAAATTACATTTATAAAATTTTATAGAATTTTTATATAACTTAATAAGTTATATCATTATTATTATCATCATCGTTCAGCAAAATAAATTCCTTCTTGAGCAATCCATTCTGAATCTTCATTAGATTTTGATGAAGCAGCAACTTCAATTTGTCCATTAATTGGATTATTATAAACTTTGTCTTTACTAGCTACTAAATATTTATATGTTTCTGAATGCATTAATTTAATCTTTTGTTCACGTAACCAATATTTCGTTGATGTATTTAAACATATTAATTCCCAATTATCTCCTATAAACATTATAAAAAAAAAAAAAAATTAATTAAACATTGAAGAACGTGATAATACATTTTAAATCATGACTTTTAAAGTAGAAATTTATCTTTTAATACCCGAATCTAATCCATCAAACGCACTAACTTCTTGTTGATTTGATAATGGTGAAAAATGATGATGACTATGTAATAATTTTCCTGTACTAATATGTTGTAATCGAATAATTGAATTACATTTAATAGGTTCTCTACATAAATAGATATAAATTGTAATATAAATTATGATGTAAATATATGAATATAATGAATTGTGATTTAATTGATATAAATGTTATAAATTGTGTGATATATTTACCCTCTTTTGCATGAAGCTCCATTAGCAGCTTTTATAATCCAATATGAATCGGGGTCATCAGCTCTTGAAAGTCCCGTAACACTTTGTTGACCTGAACCAGTACCTTTTTTTTTTTAAAAAAAAAAAAAAAAAATAATAATTATAATAATAAATAAATAAATTTCTTAATAATAATAATTATGTGAATAAAGATAACAGAATTGTGAAAATTTACCATATGATATCGAATGTGAATGTAATTTATATCGGGAAACTCTATGAGTAAATTTTACTGCTGAACCACATGTAACTATAATAACAATAATAATAATAATAATAAAAATAACAATAATGTTGATAATTAATGATTTTAAAAAAATTAATTAAATATTAAATTAACAAAAAATTTATGTTTTAATGTTACCTTTTTCGAATTCTATATAAATAATAATGAGAATAATTTTAATTATATTTTATCATTTTTGATAAAAAATAAAATAAAATATCATTTATTTGATTGTACCTTCATCAATTTCTAAAACTTCACTTGTTATTGAAATCACAATAATGCAAAAAACTAAAACAAGAATTAATTTATATTTAATATTCATTATTATTTTTTATTTATTATTTTCTTTATAATAAAAAAAAAAAATAAAGATTTTTTTTCAAAAAAACAGTTGTAGTCATTAAAAATGTAATTGTGCAGTAAATACGTGAAAAATGTTTAAAATGTGGCAAGATTTGATTGGTAAATATAGAGATTAATAGATAATTGACAATCATTATATACTTAATTATAATATATAATATATAATATAATATAAATAAATGAATAATGAATAATGACCTAAAAATTGTTTACAATTCGTAATTTTAAATCGTTATGATGATTTATTCCATTCTTCTTTCCTTCAGGAATTCATGGAAATTGCATCTGGGATGTTACCAGAGATTGTTAGTATATCTCCTTACATAATATCTTTTTTTCTGTGGGGTATCATTTAGAGTTTCCATTTGGAGATATGTAATATAAATTGTTGTATATGGAAAATTTTTTCTTTAAAGAAAATTTTTTTGATCCACAAGTTTATTACTAAATTTAAGCATATGACTTAAATTAAAAAAAAAAAATAGAATGATATACGCATACATTCTTGAAAATAGTTTCGAAAGTATTGGCAAGCAATCAAAGAATTTTTAATTTTTAATTTTTAATTTTTGAAAAAAATAAGGTTTAATGATATATGCACACATTCTTCGAAAGAAACAGTAAGCAATCAAAGAATTTTTAATTGTCGAAAAACAAAATTTAATTCAATGATATGTGCATTCACTCTTGAAAATGGTTTCGAAAGTAATGGTAAGCAATCAATGCCAATTTTTCAAAACTATTTTCCGACACATTCTTAAATATATATTTGTTTGACAAAGATAATAAAATCGAAAATCGAGAAATATGTATATTCTCATAATACAAGAAAAAAAAAATAACAAAATACAAATGGTTAACTTTTATTGGAAGTTTTAGAATAAAGAAAATTCTATTGCAACAAACAACATACGCCACACAGAACAGTCCTTTCAAATCACGTGTAAAATATGTCAAAAATAAAAAAGGAATTTACTAAGAAATTATTTTCCCACGTTAAAAGTTCAAGTTTGTATATTAAATTAAATTCACTTATATGTTGTTTATTTACGGAATTTTTTCTTTAAAATAAAATGTATAGCATGCGTTCAGCTCTCATGACCATCATTACTAATAATCAGGGCGCAATATGCATCATCCTTCGATCAATTTACCGAAATGGTAGTCATGTGAGGTCTCCTGACTTCCTTTTCAATCCTTTATCCAAATTTTTATTGGATAAAGTTAAAATGAATTTCGAAAATTTATAAATATGGGTTCTCGAATATAATTGCTTTTTTTTTTGTTATCAATGAAATAATAAAATAAATTTTTTTTTGTCCTGAATAAGTTGGTACCCACCCAAATAATACCACTTATTCAATTACCCATCTTGCCAAATATATGATCCCTCGTTTCTTTCCGTATTTTTTTTTTGAAGTTCTACGATATAATTTACGAATTATTTTCAAACTAAATTTTATTTATTTAAAAAAAAAAAACACCCATAAATTTTAATTTCACCCGTAAACATTTTTCTATATCAACATGAAATTTGGAAAGGCTTTAAATAACGAAATATATGAAATTCCTTCTGAATGGAGACCATTTCTCATTCAATATAAGCATTTAAAAAAATGTATCCATAAAATTGAACATGAATTAAATGAAGTTGGAATGTCTCGAAAATCTGTGAAAACAAAGTTTAAAGATGGTTTTAAACTTGAATATTCATTCAAAGGTAAAAACTCATCGCAAATTTAAAAGATAATTTTTTTTTTTTTTAAAAAAAAAAAGATTAACGAGGTTTCCTCTTTATTCATAAATGTTAAAATTTAAAGATAAATATTACAATAACATAAAATAATTAATTTGATAATTTAAAATAATTAAAATAATAATTTTTCATTTTATAAAGATGATAATAATCATGTTCATACTTGCATCAATGTTGATTTTGGTGATCATAAACGGAACTCTCCTAAAGTTCAATTATCCACCTTTATCCATCTGACCGAAAGTTCGCATTCTAAATGTGAAAATGATCCCATATCTTTATGTTCAGATGATTCTCAATGCAATAATGCAAAAGTTGTTGGTTTTGATGATTTTATGAAGAATTTACCCCGTCATGACGATGAATCTGTAATTCGCATGGAAGAAGTACTTAAAAATCTCAAAAAGTATGTGCCATTAAATACAATTTAAGTAACTGTCATTCATAGAATTAATATAATTAATATTAATATTAATTTAATATTTTTTTAATAATTAAGAACGCTTTGTGTTGAACGTGAATTCTTTGACATTCTTTTGGAAGAAATATCCCAACTGAATCACCTTCAACAAATAAATCAAGAACAATTTAGCAATGAACTTAAAGAATTAAGAACTTTGTTAATTGACGCGGTAATTAAATTTGTTTGTTTTTTTTGCAATCTTCAAAATTAGTAAAGATCTTCATATAAATAATTTTCATTTTTCTAGACATCTCCGTTTAAAAAAGATATGTATGTTTGGCGAGAAATATTTGATAAATATATTTTTGCCGAAATTTTTATCGGAAATACTGAAGTTGACAGAAAAGAGAGAGGCTGGGAAGTGGCTCAGAGGAAATTAAATAAATTTATCGAAGAATTGAATAAATCCCAGTTGGTAATTATAAATAAATTGCAATTACAATTTTTGATATATTTATTGTGTTTATATCTATTTTCTAAAAACCAATTACATTTTTCTTCATTTTTCAGGCAAAAAAATTAAGGGAGCCTTCGTCAAAAATCATTTTTGAAGAGTTCTTAAAGGTATTTTGATTTATAAGTCGCGTGTGTATGTATATACGCGTGTATTTTTTTTTTTTTTTGCATATTCACATGATAATATTTTCGATATAATCTTTCAGCTAAATCATAAGCTTGTTACAATGAAGCGTTTTCAACAAATGAATAGAACTGCTATGTTCAAAATCTTGAAAAAGCATGATAAAAAATCATGTTTAAAGTAAGTTTTAATCGCTATAAAGTTATTTATGTTATGTTATCTACGTCATAACATTTTATTTAAAATAATTAACTGTATATTTTAACTGTATATAATAATTATGCAGTGCCAGTTCGAATTTCCAAAACCTTATGAAAAATGACACATATCTTAACGAAAAGATATTTAAAAGCCTTTGCAATGATTTGACAGTAAGTAGAAAATTAGATGTATACATATTATATACTATTATATTTTATTGAATTTTGTTCTTGTGTGTCATTTTAGGAGAATTTAACTTCAATTATTCCTCAAACGAAAGATTATTTATGTCCTGTATGCATGGGTAAGTTTTTTCATATTTAAAATACTAGTTCAAATTTTCATTCATTATTATTATTTATTAATATATTAGATATCATTTTTTATAGCAATTCATTGGAAACCAATTCGACTATGTTGTGGACATGTATTCTGTATTCAATGTCTTATCAATGCTGGACATAGAAAGATAAAAAATTGTCCTATATGCCGAGCTGAAAATGCAATTGTTAATGCTAATTCAAGTATTTCTTTTTTTCTAATTTCTTTTCTTGACCTCAACAATGATAACTTCTTATCTAAAAACTAAAATTTTTATCTTCTTTTTTTTTTCCACAGGTAATTTGGATTCATCGTTAATGAATTTTTTAAAGCTTTACTTTCCAAATGAAACAAAACAAAAACAAAATGAAAATGATCGCGAAAGAGCGTTTCAGGATATGCAAATGCTTACGGGTCGTATTTATTATAAAGGAAATATGTGCGTCATTATGTGAATTTTATATTTTTTTGTTAATTTAATAATTTCAAAAATTAATTAATTATTTTAAAACTTCTTTTTTTTTTAGCGGATATTCTTACTATTAAAATATCAACCGTTTCGCAAAAGAATTTTTTCATGTACGTACATTCGTAAAGTTTTAATTACCCGAAAACTTTATTATCGTTTAGTATAAAATTTAAACCTATATATAAAATATTTAAGAGTTAATTATCAAACACAAACAAGAAGGTTTTTTTTAAAAAAAAAATTCACAAGCATATTATTTACGACTTAAAATTTTTAACATCTATGATTCTTTTTTTCTTGACACCTTTTATGACATAAAAATCTCAAAAAAAAAAAAATATGTTTATGCAAAAAAAAAAATAATAATAAAATAAATAATAAATAATAAATAATAAATAATAAGTAATAAATAATAAATAATATATAAATGTATGTAATCACTTTGAATGTTTTTACTTTGAATCATTTGTTCAAGATACAGTGAATGAAAATAAATATTATTTATACGTCATATCTGATATAGTTAAAGTAACTATAGAAAAAGTTTACGTATTTGCATCGGAATTATTTTGGCTTTTTGAACACTTTATAAAATTACTTGGATGTTGGTCTTGGGATATTTACTTATATGATAATTATATGTATTCGGGAAAGGATTACTTTATAATTTCATCGTAAAAACTTTGTTTAAAATTTCTAAACATTAAGTTTATAAACAAACACAAATTTCTATCCAACTAGATTATAGATTTTTTTTTTTAAAGTAGACATTATGAAAATTTTACATGTCTTCTAATATTGAAATTCAAACAAACTACGAAGTAATAATTTTTTGGCATTTACAAATGCTGGTTCAATGTTCATCAAATTTATTTGATTCGCTTCAGCTATAAGAAAGGTGATTATAAAGATCGCCAGTAATAAAATAGATTACTCTCGTTCCTCAAGTCACTCTAAATGTAAAGTTGAAAGAGATCTCCCTCTTTTCTACTTTTTTCTTATTCACTTTATAATTTATATGTTGAAACAACGTTATTTGATATGCCTGTTATATGTAGATCTCTTAGTGTTAATATTTACTAACAATTCCGTGATATAAAATATTTAGATCGTAGTATTTGAATATTTCCGCATTTTAATTTATCTAATTATATTTAAACCCATCAATTAGTCGGGAAAATAATAAGTCTAAAAAGTAAATTTATTTTTTGTATAAAGTATTTTCTATTTTTATACAATATGCACATGGTTTTTTTTTAACTACAAATGATATACTGAAATATTCTATTTTATTCTATTAATTCTATCAGTGAAAATTAATTGAACACAAAGAGAAATAAATTTAATGCTTAAGAATCATTTATTTGAATATCTTCCTTTTCTATTTCCGTATCATATTCGTATTCATACTCGTATTCATCGAATTCATCAAATTCATCTAATTCACCAAATTCATCGAATTCATCAAACTCATCTAATTCATCTTCACTTTCATCTTCTCGAGTCCGGCTCTCGACTTTTTTTTTTTTTTTTTAAAAAAAAAAAAAAAAGAAAGAAAAAAAAAATGATTAAAATTTATAAACTTGAACGGATAATCTGTAGATTCACAATTTTATGAATAAGAAATTTGTGATACCTCTTTTACCAATTTCATCAAATCTTTCTATTACATTTTTCATTCCTGCATCAAATCCTTTTGATAATTTTTCATTCCAAACTCTTAATTCTTCAACAAAACTTTCATATTCATTAATATGATTTTCATAATCATCCATTTTCGTTTCGAAAATTTTCAACTTTTTGTATATTCGATTTAGATAAACTTCATTTGTATGAAGACGTCTCATCATTTGATCAGCTAATAATTTATTAAGGAATAATATAATAAATAATAAATAAATAACTTAAATAACTAAAATAAACTTAAAATAACTAAATAACTTATTTCGTTAAGCAATTAACTTTAAAAAATAAATAACGAAAATCTATACCCAAGTCACATATTGTAAGGAAAGTTTCCATATCATATTCAGAAGAATATTCAAAAACTCTTTCTAATATTTGATTTATTCCGTTTTCTATTTTTTGAAAGGTTTCAGTGGTTGAAACAGCAAAACGCTCTAATGTATAACCTCTTTGTGGGAGACCCATATTAATACGTGTATTTAAAGTGTATAAAATGTTTTAGTCAAGTCGAAACTCGTGTAATTATGATAAAATTGATGAGACACGTTCGCGTTGTAATGAAATTCCTTATTTATAGTTATGTAAGCAAATATCAATCCAGAAAGCGTCTGTCAGTCACGGTACGTCAATCCTTTTCATTTGACTATTTTATCAAGTACATAAATGTAGCATCAAATTATTCTTTCAATTATAACTATGAACTTTGTGAATGTTGAAATTTCCGAGGCAGGCCTTAAAGTATCTTATTCAGATGGCGATCCAAAGCACCACCCAAGTATCGAAATAGTAGTTGACTCAAGTGGTACTAAATCTCATTATAGATTGGTTGGAAGAAAAGAACAAAAGTTTGACGTTTATTCAACGAAACTCGGTGATGCACTTGGCAAAGCATTGGAAAAAAGTGGGTTACTCGTGCCTAAAGGTATTTGATTTTGTGAATTAAATATTATGATTCTTTTCATTTTAGTAAATATTAACGAACATTTATTTCAAATTAAATAAAGCTCTTTTATTGGAATTGCCAAAAGGGTATGAATTATTTGAAAATAATAAAGAATATGTAAATAAACCCACAAGAAAAGATACATATTTGTTTGGTGTGTTAATTTACTTTAATCCATTACATTGTACTTTTTTTGCGCAGGTAATTATCTAATATAATTTATTTCAGGAAATGGTTCAAAGTATCGATCACCTGCTGAGTTTGAGGAACATCTTTTATGGTTAGCTTCTGATAAAGAAATGCCTTGTTCATGTAAATATTGTCCAAAAGATAGTTATCGAAACAATGCACAATCTCGAAGAAGTGTTGATACAAGGTCACCATCAAAGTTTAATCAGACTATTCAAAAACAAAATACTTCTTCAATTAAAAGATTGACAGCAGCACAAAAAGGAAAATCTAAGGCAACATCTGTAAATGCTAAAGATGAAAATTTATCATTAAGAATAGATAACAAATCAAGACGTGAAGATATTATATGGGCAGATATAAAATATGTTCTTCACTCAAGTCAGCGTGATTCATTGTTTAGTGAAGAGGGAGGTGATTTGATTAAATATTGGCCTGCAATTATTCGCGAAAAATCAAAGGCGATGCATAATTTTATAGATCCTATTGGAAATAATTCTAATAATTCTTCAGTATTCTATACATTACAACCATTAATGTTGGCTGGGACAAAAAGATTACAGCAAAATGCAATCATTCCATGGTTAGCTTATAGTACAAAGAATGTAACTCGAGCAATTGAAAGTAAATTAAGAAAAGAAGATAATGAACATCTACTTAAAAGTTCCACGCGAGGAGAATTTGTGAACATATGGTTTAAAGCTCTGGAACAAGCCAAAGAAATATCTTTAACATATACACCTATATTAGAATATAAATATAAATTACCTAATGGTTATCTTAAATATATTGAACTAGCGAATGAAATAAGATTATTACAACAAATGGAATCATATCCACATTATAAAGCCATTTTCCTAGGTACTGAGCTCTTGAAAGAAGACGATTACATTCGTTTAACACGTCCTTCTCGCGATTCATCTACTGAAAGATTGCCTATATTTAAAATTAATACAATATTTTTGAATTCACAAAAGAAAATTCAAATGAGTGGTGATTTGTTCCCAAGATCGCCGCCATCATCAAAAAATGACGGAGAATGTTTTATGTTGAAAAAATTAAATAAAGATAAGTTTGAATATACAATTGATCTGTCTGAAATTGCAGGACGTTATTATAAATTACATCCAAATATCAATCAGAATATGTCATGTACCATTCCAGTTTCGTACATTGACAGAATGTCTATAATTAGTGAGACTACAAAATTGTACATACATGAAGCAACCAATACAAATATTCAAAATATTCAAAATATTCAAACCCCACGAAAACAAATGGCTAAAAGATCAAGGCCATTACCTCCTTTACGGACCAAAAAACATAAGATAGATCATCTCACAAAAGAAACATCAATTGATATTAGTACTAGCCAATCAAGCCAATCAAGTAAATCTACTAACATCAAAAAAGTCGATATGACTAGAGCTAAAATAGTTTCACCTAGAATTCCATTTTTGGATGAAAGTGATGATAATTCAGATTAAAAATATATGTATTTCACGAGTTCATTTTTTGTTTATAATCAAATATTTGTAAGATTTGAAATGAATTTTAATAATAACAATTAAATATAATTAAACGCTTGTAAATTTTCAACTAAAATGTTTATTGATATAATTATTGCTACCTATTTTTTTTACTTTCGCTGTCAAAAAAATTTAATTAAAGTAATTAAAGTTGAAAATGAAAAATTATTTAGATCATTACAGCCATTATATAGTAATTGATAACTATTTTTTGTCAAGAACCAATGATTTCAATAAGTCAAGTTCACCAGAATTTTGGCACATTGCATAAAATGAGGATTCGGTATTCTTTATCGAATTATATGGGCTTTTAAAAATGAAAAAAAAATAAAAAAATAATGTTAATATATTTAAATTTAGATTATTAATATATTTAAATTTAGATTTGAAACAAATATAATACCTGTCAAATTCTCGAATATTACCGTTATCTAAAAATTAAGCATAAGGTTAATTTAATTGGTAAATATAGTAAATAGTATTATGAATCTATTTTTCATACCTAAAACTAATATCCGATCATAATCAATTACAGTACGCAATCGGTGAGCGATACATATGACAGTACAATCCACGAATTCGGTTCGAATCATTTTTTGGATTTTCTCATCAATAGAAAAGTCAATGCTACAAAAGAAAAAGAAGCGAAATACTTACAATGTAAAAAAAAAAAAAAATACATGATTATAGAATATACATTTTGTCAAATTTAATGTCAAACAATACCTAGCGGTAGCTTCGTCCATTAATATAATTTTAGTTCTTCTCAACAAAGCTCTAGCAAGACACAATAACTGTCTTTGACCTTGGCTAAAATTCTTACCACCTTCACTAACAGGTGTATCCAAATTTTTGAATGTGTTAATGTTATCATTATCTCCTGTAATTATACTAGATTCTGAGTCATCTTCAGAAGGTATCAAATGAACTCGACGCATTGATTCAAATATATCACTATCTTCGTATTGTGAAAACGCATCAAGATTTGAGCGTATTGAACCTATAAAAATAGAATGAATTAGTATTGTAGATATAATAGAATCAAAACCTCATAAAATTGTGATGAAATAAGAAATTACCAGTGAATAATATTGGATCTTGAGGAATGATTGTAATCCTTGATCTAAGGTCCTCTACACCAATCGTGGAAACATCAATCCCATCAATAAAGATCTTCCCCTCCGATGGTTCAATGAAGCGAAATAATGACAACGCAATTGTTGATTTACCAGATCCGGTCCTAATTTTTAAATATAAATATTATTAATTTATTATTCTATGAATTTTTTAAAATTGAAATTTTTGAATAATCTCACCTTCCAACTATTCCTACTTTTTCTTGTCCATTCACAGAAAATGAGATATGATGCAACACCGGTTCCAAATCTGGTGCATACCTTATTTGAAGGTCTTGCACTGTTATGGCACCACTATGAGGCCAATTAGCCGGAGGTCTTGGTTCTATTATAGCTGGAGCTTCTTGTGGTATTTCGGAAAATTCGCTAACTCTTTCTACTGCATTTAAACTCATTTCTAATGATGTAAACCTTCTTACAGACCACATGATCTGTTCAGAAAAATACATGGCAAATGATAATGATAATCCAGCCAAACCAGCATCAATTCTTTCAAGATTTAATATTATGAATAATCCAGCCAAGAAAGTTATAAATGCCCCTGAAATGTTATATCGAATAGATAGCCAACGATTGACTATCCAAACATAAAAAAATGGGCGAAGATTATTATCAATCCTGAAAACATAATAAATATAACACGTTAATACACAAATAATACACATTTAAACAAATAAACAAAAAATATCTTAAAAAAAAAAAAAATATTAACTTCGATAACATTTCTTGCATGAAACGTTCAGCAGCACCAAAAGCTCTAATTGTTGTTATTCCACTAAAAAAAAATTTTTTTTAAGTTGTAATCAATTTTTATTCATTATACTTAAAAAAAATATTAAAAAGATAATAATCTTACATCAAAGATTCAGTGAAATGGGAATACAATGGAGATCTTGTCGTAGAATCCATTCTCTTGAGTTCACGAGATGCCTTTGCATATAGCATACCGATTAATATGTACATTATACCTAAAAAATAGTGAACAACAACAATGAACAACAACAATAAACAATGAAAATTCTAATATATGATAAAACGAAAACGAAAATTATTAATTACCGAATATAATTGCGGCAACAATGAACTCTATAAAAAAAATAAACAAATTAATTAAAAATTTTTCAGCATGATGAAAGTTCTTTATAAATTAGAGAGAAGGAAAGAGAAAGAGGTTTACCGTATGTAATAGCAGTTATAACCATAATGGTACTAATCATCATGATAGCCTAAATATACATTAAAAATGCATAAATATACAGTAAAGATACAGTAAAGATACAGTAAAGATACATAAATATCAAAAAAAATAAAATAAATAAAGCTTTTTTCTTTACATATGTCAAAAACCATCCAAATTCGTCTAATAAAATTTGAAAAATAAAAGATAATTCATTAACCCAAAATTTAAATTTAATTAATTAATTAATTTATGACATTACTTATTAAATTGCTGTCTATGGTTTCAAAATCGTTACTGAATCTATTAAGAATTCTTCCAATTGGAGTTGTGTCAAAAAATCTCAGAGGAGCTCTAATTATTCGATGAAGCAACCTTCGATATAATTTTCTTGAAGCTTTCAAAGATCCATAATAAAGCCACAAGAAACGTGAAATACCGAAAAAAACAGTTGCAAGTGTAATCGCCACGTAAATATTCAAGTAATAATTAACACTATGTTGTTCATTTATGTTACTAAATATATTATTAACATTTACATTGTTAAATATATTGTTGACATTTATATTGCTAAATATATAATCAGCATTCATATTTCTAAATATCTTATTATCCAATATTGTTGGTGAAGTTCCGTTACGATTAGAATCCGGTATTGATGCTTCTGACCACACTTTGAGCCACCAACTTTCTAAAACTTGCAATCCTCTCGTGCCAGAAAAAAATATTGCAACAATAAACCAAAATAGAATATGTCCATTGGCACGAAAATATGTTTTATAAATCTTCATTCGGACCATGCCGCTCGGACGTTCTAAAATAAATTTCACGATAGAATTGTATTAAAAATGATAAATGAAAAATAAAAGCTATTTAAAGGAAAAAAATTGAAAAATTAATACCTTCTTCATCAACAAGCACTTTAGGTTTAGAGCTTTTCTTCGCAGGAACTTGATTTTCGTTTTCAACAAGAGTAGCATCCGAAGAGATGGATGAATCAGGATTATGTGCTGGATTTGCATCGGAATTCGATTGACTAATGTTTTCAATGCTTTCAACTGTTGGATCCTCTAATTTTATTTGTCGATCTGAATCTTCCAACAAAGAAGATAACAATCCTGAATCCCGCAATTTAGATACAGAATCCGCAGCTGAAACTTTTCCATTATTTATATTTACCTAGTGAGAAATGTATTAAAAATATGTTAAAAAAAGATACTTAAGTTTAGAAATCAAAAAAAAATAAAAAATAAAAAATAAAAAAAATTACTCACCAAATAAGATGCATATGATAAACAAAACCTGACATGGTGTGTTACAAGAATTTGAGTACGTCCTTTCATTAAATCACCCTTTAAACATTCGGTCACTAGATGTCGAACAGTATGTGCATCGACGGAACTTAAAACGTCATCCATAAAAATATGCTTCGCTCTAGAATATACCGCTCTATGATAATGAAATAAAGATATAAGATATTGTAATAAAAACACGATAAGACTTAAGCATAATTAAAAATAAATAAAAAAATAAACATAAATAAACGAAATAGTGATAAGACTTTTACCGAGCTAAAGAAACTCTTTGTTTTTGTCCACCTGAAAGAGTTATTCCTTTTTCACCTATTTCAGTCAAATCTCCATCTTCAAAAATTTCAAAATCTTTTTCTAACGCACACATTTTCACAACTTGGAGATAACGTGTTTCGTCATGTGGTAAGCCAAATAAGATATTATCACGTATAGAAGCATTTTGAAGCCATGCTTGTTGTGCCACATATGCCACACAATTTGGAATAATCCAATTAATAGGATTCAAATTTTTATCGGTATAATTATCAGGAGGAGAAACAGGACAATGAATTTTGCCGCTCATCAAATATGTTTCTATTATTAATAATAATAAAAAAGTTTATATTTAATTAATAAAATATTTAAAATATTATAAAGTGGTTGAATTAACGTTTACCTCTAAGAAGCGATAACAATAACAATGTCTGTGCGTTCACGATTCATTGGAAGAGTAGTCAACTTGTTAAATTCCTTGAATAAGGTGTAAAAAACAAAAATGCAAATAAATAAATAAATTATTTCAATTATTCCCACCTTTCCAGAACCAGTTGGTCCACCTAATAAACAAAAAATAACAAAAAGAAGGAACAAAAGGTTAAAATTGATTAATAATAATGTAGACAATTAAAAACAAATAGATAATCTTCATTACACTTACATATTATACTTAATTCACCAATTGGAAAATCCAAATTCAAGTCACGGATAGTAAATTCTGCATCCTTATTAAGATTATTGTTGTTTTCTTCTTTTTCCTCCTTTTGCTTATTCCAAGTCACGGTTGCTTCTTCGAAACCTATTGAAGTAATCGCTTGGGAAATTAAGTCGTCCGAGGGAATAACAATTTCATCTTCATGTAAAAATTTATTTATCCTTTTAAGACTAATTGAGGCTTGAAGTGCTTCAATAAAGAGTTCAGGCAAAATATTAAGGGCAAAACGAAGCTCATTGAAAATTGATATTGTAGTGAACGCAATAGACACCGTGAGTTCCTGCTCTTGAACTTTTGTGAAAAAGAATAAACTGACAATTGTGACAAGTATAGGTGAAAGCATCCATAATAGATCAAACATAGCTAAATATATAAAATTATATCGAAGTTGTTTAAGTTCTGATTCTCGCGCATCTGCAAAAATAATGTTATAAAATCAATTAATTCATTATTTCATAAATCACTCGAGAAAAAAAAAATCCCAATATTAACCTGAAACCTTGCTTTCCCATTTTTTCTCCCAAGCAAAGAATTTAATCATTCGAATTCCTTGGAGTATCTTTAAAAAAAGGAATCAATTAAAAATAAGTTAATGAATATTTTGACGTACATGAGTGTCATTATAAGTGTCAATACAAATGTTTCTGTGATCTACGTTATTTGTTAAACTTACTTCATTCATCAAATTGACTCTACGATCTCTAGCATTCATTAAATCGTCTTGGGTTTTTGCATAGTACTTAGCCGTATAGTGATTAATAGGAAGTGTAAATATCATCGCTAATAATCCAAATAAACAAGCAACTCCAAGAAATTGATACAACAAATAAATTCCAAAAGCCAATTCTATGGGAGAATCAATTACACTCCACCACCATACAGCAAATTCTGACACCCGACTTGTATCGACTGCCATGAGATTTGTTATTTTTCCCACAGATGAATTCTCATCTTTATCATCATCATCTTTATCTTTATCATTATCATTTTTATCATCTTTATCCTTACTTTTTCCATCATCATCTTTAACTTTTTCTTCATCATCTTTAGATACTGGAACATGTACATCAACTCGTTTCAAACTCTTTGAATATATTTCAGAATTTAACATTCCTTTAAGATTAAGTTGAAAAACACTTGAACTCCAATACCAAAGTTGAGAAATATCTAATTGAAGTAAAACATTTGATAAAAACATTCCTAATAAATATATGAAACACCATTCATATAATCCATTTTCAGGTCGATCTTGAAGTAAAGATAAGAAATTGTAAAAAAAGATCATTGGAATATAACTTAAGAAAGCCAGATTTATCGTAAAAAAAGATTGAATTAAAATTGCACGCTGATTAGATTTCCAAATTCTATAAAGAAGTTTATTCCCTTGGGTGTTTTTAAAGATTTTATGTAAAATTTTAGCTTGAGAAGAAAATGGTAATAAATTAAGATCAGAATCTTGAAATGTTTTTAATGAATAAGTTTTAATCATAAAAGGAGTAACAAAGTTGAATGAAATATAATCCAGTATAGAACAATATTCTAAAGCACTAACAGCTCGACCATCTTGAAATATGGGAGGTCCTTTGGGAGTTGTAATGGCAATAGATGTAATAATTAAAGAAAAAATCAAGTTACAAACAGCTGTTATAATTTCAATTTGTTTAAAACGATATTCGTTTGATTCTAATTTGAATGCGGTTCGAATTTGCCACGTGGAACAAAGAAAGAAAGTAGAGTAAAATGCTGACAAATGCGCGTTCAATCTCCAACTCCATTTATTTGATTTTACACATAACCCTATAATCATGATTATCAACGCGTAACTCTGATAATAATAATGATGATAATAATAATAATTATTATTAATTAATAATAATATTAATAATAAATGACAATAGAACGATAGAAATTAATAATTTGAATTAATATTTTACCAAACAAAGTGAAATTATTCCAGCGCATATTTCAGAAGTCAAGTCATAATTTTGATCAAATCTGCAGACAAATAAGAAAACATTTAACACAAGTTGTAATATTATTATTCCAAATTTTATTACGTCTCTCCAAACAGTAGAAAATCGATAATTGTCATTATCAAACTGTTCAACACTAATTATTTCTTCCGGAAATATTTCCTCATAATTATTTTTAAAACTAAATTTTTGAATAATTAAAAATAAAATACTAAATGTCACAATTAACGCAGGAGGAACTGTCCAAATTAAAGAATCTATTAAAAACATCATTTAAGAAAAATTCAAAAAAAAAGGCAATGAGAAAGAATTGGAAGGAATTAGAAGGAATTAGAAGGAATTGGAATGATCGATCAAAATATCACACATTTCAAATCTACCATACCATATTAAGGGTATTCACCGTGTGACCATCATATAAAATTAAAATTATTCAAAATTCTTTTTATCTAAAAAAAAAAAAGTATGGGAAACACACAATCTAATTCTAATATGCCTGCAAGATCAATTGAAGATTTTAGTAGATCATCAGAAACGTCACAAGAAGATCAAATTATCCCTGTTGATACAGGTCGAACAATTGAGAGTTCCTTTCATGATTTTGGTTCAAATTCACCATTCGTTGGTTCACCTTTACTATCACATGAAGAATATAAAAAAGTTGAAGTCATTGATGATATATATTATGGATACAGTCAAAATTCAAGTTTTAATGAAACCGGAATTTTGACTGGTTCACCGAGAATTCCAACATCATTGGTTGAACCTTCATATAAAAACTCTAATAAAATTGTACATGATTTTAGTTCAGGTGGGAGTTTAGCTCCCTTGACGACTTCAAATGAAAAAGGTTTTTTTTTTTTTTTTTCTTTTTTATTTTTTCTGTGACAAATATGACAAAATTAAAATAAATAATTTTTATAATAAAATTTATAAAATAGAAATAAGTAAAAAAATACCTACAATTATCACCTGGAGTCAAGGTGGAAATAATGTATATGTCACAGGCACTTTCAATGATTGGAAATACAATATTAGATTATGTAAAAGGTTTTTTTTTCTTCTTTTAATTAATAATTTTTTCATGAATTTTTTTATTTTTAAATAAATTTATTAATTTATTAAATTATTAAATTAAATATATATATCTATCTATATCTATAAATATTTGATATTATTATTATTTATAAAAGTTCCAACGATTTCACCACGGTCATTAATTTATCTCCAGGAACACATAAATTAAAATTTATTGTTGATGATGAATGGAAATGTTCTAATGATCTTTCAACAGCAACAGATCCGGATGGTAACTTGGTAAATTATTTGGAAGTTTATGAAGAAGAAGATGAAACTATAAGTCAAGATGGATTAAATTCTGACGGTAATATTTCTATTTATTCAGATTTATTTATATTTATTTATATTTAATATTTATTTTATATGTATTTATATGCATTTATATGAATGTATAAAGGTCTTTTATCAAGGACTCCTCCAGATGAATATACTGATGAGATTCCAAGTTATTTATTGGCTTATGCACATTCACTTGAAATTGCAGCTAACAATTTAAATAATAACAATGATAACAATGGCAACAATGGCAACAATGATAACAATGGCAACAATGATAACAATGACAACAATTATAACACTAACAACAATGATGACAATAACAACAATGATTACAATAATAACAATATTGATAAAAATAGCAACAACAATATTATCAATAACAACAATGATTACAATAACAATAATAATATTGATGATGATAATAATAATAATAATAATAATAATATTGATAATAATAATAATAATAACAATAATGATAATAATAATATTGATAATAATAATATTGATAATAATTATAATAATAATTATAATATCGATATAGTAGATTTTGAATTTCCGGATTGTATGATAGAAGATCAACCACCAGCTTTACCACCTCATTTAGAAAGAGTTTTACTTAATAGTTCTACGATATCAAAAGAAGATAATAGTGTTCTTCCAGAACCAAATCATGTGGTATTAAATCATTTATATGCTTGTTCAATAAGAGATGGAGTTATGGCTGTTGCTGGTACTGCAAGATATAGAAAGAAGGTTAGTTATTATTATTAACATTACATCTTTAATCTCTTTAATCTCTTTAATTTCTTTAATTTTAAATTATTTATTAATATTTAATTATAATAATTAACAGTATGTGACTACTGTCTATTACAAACCTATATTCACATGAATTCACTTGGATTATCATTAATATATTAAATTATGTTATTTTATCATAAAATAAAATCCTTATTTTTTTATATTTAAATTTGATCAAATCCAGAAGCCGTTAATAAATTATTGATCTCTTTATAGTATTTCTTTAAAAGTTGTTCAACTGGTTTCCCCATTATTTTCGTTTGTGGAATAAATTTTGAACATTCATTTCTCTTACAACAACTAGAATCACCATCACCACAACAACTAGAATCATCATCACCACAACAACTAGAATCACCATTATCACAACAACTTAAATCATTAACATTTTTTAATATTTCAGTTTTTATTTCTAAATTGTTATCTTTTTTATCTTTTTCATATTCATCTTTTTTATCATCTTTATCTTTTTCATTAGAACCAATATTTAATTTGTGAATACTACATTCTGTTCCTGTATCATTAATAATAATTTCTTGTGATTTATCAATATTATCTGATGAATTTATAACTTGTTTAAAATATTCTTTTGTGAAAATTTTTTCAACTGACAAGTTTGCAAGTTCATTTTCTAATGATTCAATTTTCTCTAGCATTGATTTATCTGATATTAGAGGTATTGTATCTTTATTATCTTTATTATCATCTTTATTATCTTTATCATCATCATTATCTTTATCATCATCATTATCTTTACCATCATCATTATCTTTATTATCGTTATCACCTTTATCATCTTTATTCATTAAAGAAGTATGAAATTCTAGTAAAGTACTAAATTTGTAAATTTTGTTCCAGAAAAAAGTGGAATTGTATAAAATATAATTAATTAAAATAAATTCTCAAAAATAAAAATAGGTAAAAAAAAAACAGACATACTTCAATATTCCTCTCAGTCTACCAATTTCTTTACCAATTCTTGCACCGTCAATATAACCTTTATCAAATCCTTTTTGAATTGTGGTATCTTTACCCTCTATAATTCCTTCTTTATATCCTAACTATATGAAAATATGAACACAAAAAAAATAATTATATTATTAAAAAAATTGCTGAAATTTTAAAAAGGAAAAAAAAAAGATCAATATAAAATAAGAATAAATAAGAATATATTAATAAAATAAATGATAAAAGGAATAATCTTGAAAATTAAATAAATTAAATGTAAAGAAATAAATTTTAACGTACATTTCCAAAATTTTCATTCATACGATTCCATTCTTTTGAAGAAATTATATTATCATAATTTAAATTTCCTTCCTCGTCTGACATTTCCCAAATATCGTTAAATTTGTCATCCATTTTTTTTTCCGTTCAATTAATTAATTATTATTAAATTTTTAATTAATTCTTATTTAAAGAGAGAAATATGATGGATTACTAATTTATAAATTCTAGAACCCGCGAAACTAAACTAAACCAAATCAAATCAGACTCATGGTGATACAGAGTTAATTCGTTAAATTTACTTTAATTAGTTGATATTCATCCATTAAAAATTGCGAATAATTCATGGATTTTTTTTTATACTCAAAATGATCCACATTTTGTTAATAGCATAAGATTGATATCAATAAAAAAAAAAAAGATTTAATACACAGGAAAAGAAATTAAATATTTTAAGCATAAATATTTTTTTGATAAAGGTGATTTTTAAAGAAACCATAATATTATTAACGCATTTATTAATATATTAATAACAGATCAGTTAAGATAATAAATAACATAAATATTCTTATAATCATTAAAAATTATTAAATTAATCTTTGAGGAACAAAAATTTATATAATTTATATATAATTCACAATTCTTCCAAAGAATATTCTTTTATTAGAATACTCTTATAGCATCATCTAATATTTGATTAAGTTCCTCTTCCAATTTATCTAATTCATTATTTACACCACCAAAAACTTCTTTAACTTCTTCTCTAATTTCTAGAGTTTCAATCATATCAAATATTTTTTCCGGATCATTAATTAATAACCAACTTCGTTCTTTAGATTCTAAAATATTTATTTCTGATCTTGCAAGTATTATTAATTCTTGTAATCCGAAATCATTAGATAATATCCAATCACTCTCTATTGATGTTGTAGATTGTTTTCTACCTGGCATTATTCCTGGAGGAGTTAACGGCATTGCTTCTTGCGTTGGTGTTGATATATTAGAAGTGTTTAATGTGGAATTTCCAGAGTTATATGATTTAATAGAATTGTTTGATGTGGTTGATTCAGATCTTTGTCGAGTTTTAAATGGATCTCGATTATTTGAATTAATATTTGTTAAATCAATATTTGAACTAATATTTGTTGAATTGATATTTGAATTAATATTTGTTGAATTAATATTTGTTGAATCGATATTTACTGAATTAATGTTTATTGAATTAATATTAATATTTGAATTAATGTTTGAATCGTATGAAATGCATGAATTGTATGAACTATATGAATTGTATGAACTGTGTGAATTGTATGAATTATTTGAATTATGTGGATTGTGTGAATTGTATGGTAATTGTGATTCTTGTTCTTCTTCCTCGATTATTAACGAAGGTATTATTCTCAAACTTGATTCTACTGAATAATCGCTGTCTGATTGTATTGCAGAAATAGATGATGATGACCGTGAACTTGAAAAACTTTCAGTACGATGGTTTGATTCAGGTGATATTGGTGGTGAAGTTCTGCTCACAGGATTAGATATTTCTATAAGACTCTCATTTGTTATATAACCTTCCATATGATTTTCTTCTTTTCTTAAATTTCGTAAAGTAGTTGCCACATTAGATATTGAATCCGTTCCAAATTTTCCAGTTTTAACTTTATTTAACACTCGTCCAATCCTTTCCTCCAAAGATTGTACAGCTTCCGAATCATTATTTTGTACATTATCCACAATTTTTTCTAAAACATCTAAATCTTGTGTTTTACTCTTTCTATTCTCTTTTTTATTTTTAAGTGCTAACATTTTACTTTGTTGATTAGAATTTTTAAAGGAATCCATAGAAGACCTAATAGGTTCCGAACCTTCATTAAGTGTTACTAACATTTCATCATTGTCCCAAATATCTTCAATTAAATCACTGATGTCTATTTCTTCTCCTTTTGTTGGAATAAAACTATATCTAACTTTTGATGCTTTTGATGAAAATACACGAGAACTTCTAATAGCTCCTATACTAGTTACAATATCAACACCTTGGGAAGCATTTTTATATGCAGAAAGAATTGATTTTTGTTTGGTACGACTATATTCACGTTGCTGTTCAATGAGTTCTTTTCTTGATAATATACCGTCATCACTAATGCCATTATTATCATTATTATCATCATCATCATCATTATTATTATTATTATCTGATTGTAAAGAGTTTTGTGGCGTATCCAAATTATTAGATACAATAGATTGATTTGTTTTTGCATCTTGTGTAATTCTTTGTATTCTCTCTGTTGTTAAGGGCATATATCTTGATTGTCTTTCTTCATTTCTTAAAAGTCTAAGTACAAATATAAGTTCATCTGGACGAGAATCTAAAGAAAATGAGAATGAAGAATCTAAAGAATCTATTGACAAATGTTGTGGATCTTGATTTGAAGGAAAGATTGAACTCAAGATTATCGTTGGATGAAGTAATTTTTCTAATATTAAAAAATAAAATAAATATTAATATTAATATATGTTTTGGTCATTTTTTTGATACTTTCACATCATATTACATTATTATATTTATGATGGTCAAATAAATAAAATAAATTTAATTAAATAAATTAAATATTCTTATTATTTTTACCTTCACCATCAACTATCATCATAAGCTGATATCTTGGTATTTCATCTATTTCTGGTATCTTTTCAAAATCATCAATTCCGTATTCTATGATACCAAATTTATCCATAGCTTTTTCAATAGTGTTTCTAACAGTAGCATTTATTGACAAGATCACACTTTTTTCTTTAGGTTTTCCTTCTTCACAAGAACGCCGCCTTGCAGCTTTTTCCGCAAGATGTTTAGGTACAGACATAGAAGTACGCGGTACTTGTTTATTTCTTAAATGATCAGGTAAATCATCTGCGTATAACAACACACGTACTCGTATTTTCTTTTCGCCTGCAACTCTACTTCCTCTCTTTGATTTTTTATTTAAAAAGAAACAAACAGAATTATTGGCATCATTTTGTGAGTCTGATGCCTTTATAGCTTCATGAATAGATAAAGTTGAAGAAATTGAAGAAATTGAATTTCTATTAACAGTCGGTAATGGGACCGAAGAAGAAGATATTAAAGAATTAAAGATCTCAAGAGGATTATCATTTGGCATTAATTGAATTTGACCTGAAAATATCAAAAATATCAAAAAAATATCAAATATATTAATAAAAAGAATAATAATATTATAATTGGGAAAACGCATAAAAATTTTAAATTAATTTCATTACCTCCGTCAGATTCTTTAACAGTAATATAATAATCATTCCAATTTTCATCAGGATTTAATTTAAATCTAATTAATGTTTGTCGAATAAGATTATTCACCGAAGTATTAGGACTTAACAAAAGGATTTTAGATTCTTCAGTATTCAAAATATTTTTTCCAGCAAAAATACGTAGAATACTGTAAACTGGTGAATTTGAATTAGAAATCTCTGTTTGATTATGTTGTTGCACAATTTTAATTGGCGAAGACCCACTTTTTAATTTGTTTTTTGGTAAAACATTTGATGAATTTTGAGAAGGTAAAGGAGAAATCTGATCATGACCAGTATGTGTGGAATGATTCTCTCTCCCAGATTCATTTTGTACTTTTTGTTGTTGTTGTTGTTGTTGTTGATATATTTGACCTTGAGAATTTATCTGAGAATATTGTTGTTGTTCAGAATGTTGCAATTGTTGTTGGTTTTGTTGCTGTTGTACTCGTTGTTGTTGTTGTATTCGTTGTTGTTGCTGAATTTGTTGTTGTTTCTGTATTTGTTGTTGTTGTTGTTTTATTTTTTGTTTATTTTCATGTTGCTGTTGGTGATTTTGCAAAGATCCTTTTCTCGATTGATTTAAATTATTAGATTTAGATACATCTTCATCCTTCTTCTTAGATTTCCGTTTAAAGAAATTCATAAATCTTCCTCCCTCTTTCTTTTCTTTCTTTGATTTTGATCCTCTTTTTTCATCTTTGTCATCCATGGAATTCCTAGATTCCTCATGTGAGATGTTAAACTTGGAAGAATCAGTGCCAAAGAATTTGTTTGCTTTATTAGAAAATCTACGTTCCTCTTCTTCTTCATCTGAAAAATCAATAAAGTCACTCCCTAAAGATGGTGTCTCTTTATCAGTTCCCGCAGGAAAACTAACAACTTGTTGCAGTACAGGATCGGGTTCGGAATTAATAACTTGGGTCGGTGGAGGATTGAATTCAGGTTCAACAACAACTTGAGTAATCTCTGAAGTAGAGTTATCATTTTGTATAGTTTTCACAGAATTTGGAATAGAATTAACAACTTGCGTAATATCCGAGGTAACGTTTTGTACAGAATTAACGATCTCTGGTGTTGCATCGCTAATTTGTTGATTTATCTTTTCGTTGTTACTTATTTCAGAATCTTCAGAATTCGTTTGATTATTAATATTATTATTATCTAAATTTTGTGATTCACTTAATTCTTCATCTACAGATTCAGCTGTATTTTCAATTGATTCTTCATATTCTCCTTCACAATCTTCAAAACTTTCTTCTTCATCAAATTCATCTTCTGGCTCTTCCGCAAAAACAAACAAAGGTGTATTGAACGATACGTTTTTTTCTTTTGTTATTTTTGGTTCTGATAGATCATCATATATATTATTACTTGAGGATGATAACTTTAATTATTTTTTTCACATAAAAAAATATTACAAGATATTAATAATTTGGAAAAAGAGAAAGAATTTATGAAAATGAATTAATTAACTTACATTAATGTTTAAATGTTTATTTAATCTAGCCAATCTCTCATAAGGAGTTTCAATACTTTCCGCAGGTATATAACCGATATCATCAGATTTTAATACTTTGATTAACCACCAATAACTATTTGAGTCGTCAAGCAATTTCAGATGATCATCTCTTTCAACACTAACTTGACCTTCTACGGTAGCATGAAATGTATGTAACACATAAACTAAATTAAAGTCAATATTTTCATCAGGAATAGATGGTGAAGATGCCAAATCATCTTCATCTTCTTCTTCTTCATCTACCAAAGTAACATCATCATCATCAACATCATTTGTTGTTGATAAATTATTGGTGTCGCGACGTGTAGTTACTACGGTATCAATAGTTAAATTATTTTCTCGATGCATAAGGTTTATTATTATTATTACTATATTATTGTTGTCTATAAAAGATTGATCAAAAGAATTCGATTTTTTTTTTATATATGTAAAATTTTATGATAACAAAAAAAAAAATTATTTTTTATTAAAACAAGTCAACTTTTTTTTTTCAAAAGAGAGTAAACTGTTTAATTATAGTAATAATTCGAATGACAGCAAAAAAAAAAAGCAAGGTTAATAGATTTATATATAAGGTATATGCGTTAAAACATTGCTAAAATACAAATATTTTCTTTATTCACAAAAATCTATAAATTTTGTTCATCGTTACTGACTTTGGATTTGTACATTTTTATTATTTTTATTTTCGATCAATTGGTGTTTAAAAAAAAAAATAAGAGCTAATATTTAAAGAACATAAAAGAAAACATAATAAATATAATAAACATAATAAATGTAATAAACATAATAAATGTAATAAACATAATAAATGTAATAAATATAATTAATGTAATAAATATAATAAAAGTAATAAAAATAAATATAAAAAATATAAATACGCTGCATTATCGATCCAATTATAATAGTTTAAATTGTTTGCAAGTTGCATGCATGAGAATTTCCAAAGAAAAATTGAATTGAAATCATTCGATTCGATTTTACGAGCATTCGAACTGTGATTGTGATGTGGTAACTAGTGGTAACTGTAACAATTAATTATTTACCAAATCTTATTTATCATTTTTAATAATAAACAAAAGAACCTGCCACATTTACTAATCACTGCTGTGAAATTGAAGAAATTTTCCATTTTTTGATTCTAATTGGTTGGAAATACTTAAAATAGTTTATTGTATCTTACCATTTTCGTTTAAGACTTCTGTATATTACCAAATAAGAATTTATTTATTACATTTATTTATTACATTTATTCATTTATTTACAAATGCATGTATACTGTGATTAATTGTGGTTAATTGGGTTTAATGGTCCGATTTGTTCCGATTTTATAATTTAATAGGGCAATCGGATAGAAATTCGAGAATCGAAGATTGGGGGATGATTACGTGACAATTTACCTGTTATTTTTAAAAGTATTATTATTATTGATTTGAATTATTCGAAAGAATAGGAAAGAATCAACATTGCATTTTAAGTAGTTTGAAGATAATTGCTCCACAAAAAAACATTTAATAAAAATAATAAAAATGGAAGTCATGTGAACACGTGAACATGTAACCTAAATCTACAAAATGAGATGTTGATCATGTTAAAAAACGATTAAAAAATTACGATGAATAATTTAAATAATTTAAATATTGAGGAAGCGCTTCAAAAAGAAAATATTACCGTTTATCAATTTAGAAATTTCTTAAATGTTAGTCTTATCGATGGTAACGAAGCATCAAGAAATGTGCTCAAAGCTATCTTTAAAAATATGACAGTTATTCTTAAATCCATTATCATTACTGATGAATTTACTCTAAATGATTTTATGAATAAAGTAAATCTTAATTCTTATTTTTAAATTTTTTTTTTTTTTTTTTTTAATAAATTGACAACACATTAATATTTCTAATGTTATACATATATATTTATTTATTTATTTAAAAGATTAAAGAATATAAAAAGTTAAAGAAACATAATAATATTCTAAGATTATATGGTGTTACTAAACAAGGTAAAGAATATAGAAAACATATATATATAAATAATTGAATAATTGTATAGTTAATTAGAATATTATTAATTATAGAAAATCCAATGGGAGGTATAAAATATATGTTGATTCTTGAATATTCTAATGGTGGATCTCTCCATCAACATTTAAAAAAGAATTCAAATATTAAGTGGAGTCTTAAAATATTTTTTGCAAAACAAATTGCAAATTTATTAATGAATTTACACTCAAATCAAATTGTTCATGAAAATTTGGTAATTAAATTTATTTATTTATTATATTTATTATATTCCTTTCTTCTTTCTTCTTTTTTATTTCTTATTTCTTATTTCTTATATTTATTCATATTTATTATATTTATTTACATTTTATTGTATTATATTTAGACCTCTGAAAATATTTTTGTTCAGGATGAAATTATTAAATTAGATAGTTTTGAAATTTCAAAAAAAATAACAGAAACAAAGAAAATATTTGGAAAATCCCTTGAATTTAAATATTCTGATTCTCAATATTTGAAACTTTACAATACTTTCGGTTGTCAAATAAGTTCAGATATTTACAGATTAGGAATTCTTCTTTGGGAAATTTCAAGCGGTGCTTCACTGATTTCATTTGAATCATTGACAAGAGATTATATATTAAATTATATTAAAATAAAAAATAAAAATCCTATTATGATGGGAACTCCCCGTGGTTATGCAAAGTTGTATACAGGTATTCTCATATTTTTTGTTATTCTGTTTATATCATGTTATATATATTCAAATTATCTAAATTTTCTTCATATTATATTCACATTATATACATTATATTCATTATATTCATTATATTCATTATATTCATTATATTCATTATATTCATTATATTCATTATATTCATTAGATTGTTTACGATCTATTGAAAATCATCGTCCAAATTTTGATCAAGTTTGTAAAGGCCTTAGTGAAGTTAATATCTCAGATAGAATAACAGAATTTGAAATATCTGTCCTAAACATAAATAATAGAATAAATAAAATACGGGCGGACATCTTGAACATGTATGTATTATTATTTATTAATATGTGACTTTAATTAACTTAATTTATTTAACTTTAACTTTAATTAACTTTAATTTATTTAACTTATTTAGTCCAGATAATGATATCAAAACTTTGAAAACTTCGGGAATTGATGGATTTATTAAGAAATTATTTCATTATTTTACTAATTTATTTTTTAAGCAACATATTGTTATGGCACATTTTTTGGTTAGAAAATATATTAAGGATCACAGAAAGAATCCTGTTAAAATATTACATCATTTACTTCATAATAATTATTATTATTTTACTAGTATGGTAGGATTTTTTTATCAATATGGAATTGGAACTTTTGTAGATTATCAAATTGCTTTCGAATATTATTCAAAGGCGGCCAATGATCATCAATTTAATCAACAATTTATTAAAAATTCAATTTCACCTCATCTTTTAGAATTATTTAGAAAATTTAATAAAATTAATGGAAGAATATTTTTGGCAAGTTTATATATAGATGGAAAAGGTGTAAAACAAGATAAACGATTGGCTTTTCAAATATTATTTAAAACTGCTTCAGAAGGATCAAGTCGTGCTGTAAATTATTTGGGTTTCTGTTATGAAAAAGGTTATTGGGTTAAAAAAAATAGTTACAAAGCATTTGAATTATATTCAAAAGCTGAAGAAAAAGGACATTTAGTAGCAAGATGTAATTTGGGTTATAGTTATCAAGATGGTGTTGGAACTGTTAAAGATGAAATTAAAGGATTTCAATATTATTTGAAAGCTGCCATGGAGGGAAATATAGTTGCCAAATATTGTGTTGCTTGGTGTTTTGAAAATGGTCAAGGTGTGGAAAGGAATCATAAATTAGCTTATTATTGGTATATGAAAAGTGCGAAAGAAGGTTATAATAGTTCTCAAAGTAATATTGCATATTGTTATGGAATTGGTCAAGGAATTCTTCAAGATGAAAAAAAAGCATTTAAATGGTATCAAGAAGCAGGAAAAAATGGTAATATTCTTAGTCAACGTGTAACAGGGATTCGTTATATGTATGGAACTGGAGTAAAAAAGGATGTCATAAAAGCTATTCAATGGTTGACAAAAGCTGCTGATAGTGGAGATTCAGGCGCTGAAGATGAGTTGGATGATTTCGAGGTTAATTTAATTTTTCAGAATTAATTAAAAGAAAAAATAAAATAAAATTCAATAAAATAGATTAAATTTATATACATTTATTATTCTATGTATTCTATGTTATATCATACAATAAACAATAGATTTTAATAGATTTTTTGATATATTTTCGTGTCGATGTTTATGATTGTTTAATCTGTTATGTTTGTCATATATATATATATATTCTTTAATAATTTTATTACAATATATATATATATATACATGTATATATTCTTCTTTACAATAATTTCAATATTTACCAAACAAAGAAAGATGTTAAACATTTGTTTATTTACTAAATCGGAATAATACCCAATTAAAGAACCTTTATTTCTATTTATATAATGATTAGGGTTGATTTTAAATTCTTTAACCTAAATTAATTAAATTAACATTAGTGGCTTGGACTATAAATATCTGTTCATTTTTTGGACAAATAAACTAGAGAACGATATTCTGTAAAAATCATTATTTAAATAAATATACATACACAAAAATGCCAATATCACCTTTACCAACTGAAACAGTCCTAATCGGTATAAATTTCCAAGAAGCCATTTTCGATACACCAAGTTTTCGTGCAAATGTTAGAAAATTTGAAGAACAAATTGATCATTTCGAAAAATGGTTGGAAGGAATTTTGAAAGCTTTACGACTATACATTGAGGAATCTATAAGTAAGTTTTTTTTTTTTAATCAGAAATGTTTTTTGTATTATTTTCTATCACATATTATCATTATTAATGTTATAGGCATATATATTTGAACCTTTAAAATATAGAATTTAATGAGGCATGCAATTCTCTAGCAAAACGTGCTTTGCCTTTAGCGAACGAAGATTCATTATTAGGTAATTCAATATAAATTTTTATAAGATATTTTCTTAATTGAATTGATCTAATGATATTAATCCTTTCATATTCATATTCATATATTTATATATAAATTCATATAGATCGAGATTTTACATTATCGACAATAAGAATCTTTACTGATGCATTTCAAACAACTTCTGCATTTAAAGAGAAATTGGTAAATATTTTTAGGTCCAATATTATTAATTTTTTTCTTTGATATATATATATATATATATATATATATATATATATATGAAACAATTAAAGTAATTAGAAATACTAATATTCGAATAGGTCAGTGATATGGATGAAAAATTCATACAACCAATTTTAAGTTTTACCAAAACTGATTTAAAAGAATTAAAAGTAAATATTAAATTTTTTTAATTTGTAAAAATCTTTTTAAAATAATAATAAATATCAATTTAACATTATTAACACATTATTAACATTATTAATCATTATTAATCATTTTATAGGAGGTTCGTCGAGCATTTGATAGAGCTTTAGAGAAATATGATAACATGTTATCAAAATATACATCACAATCAAAAACAAAAGAAGCCAGTGCTCTCAGAGAGGTTTGTTACTTTTTTTTTTTTTTATTTAGGGAAAATTTTAAATTTATAACAAAAAGTTTTTTATTTATTTATAAATTTTTAAAATTTATTTAGGACGCCTTTCAACTTTATGAAATAAGAAAAATATATATAAGAATGGCACTGGATTATACCCAAAAAATTGTACAGTTTCGAACATCAGCAGATCATTTGCTTATGGAGATTGTTTGTATTGAATTTTTTACTTTAAATAAATGTATATTTATTTTGATTTAATTTTATTTATTTATTTATTTATTTATTATTATTATTATTTTTTTTTTGAATGATAGTTTTTGGGTGGATCATATGCACAACTGGATCTTCATGTGGCTAGTACAACTATATATAAAGGTTTTGAAAATCAAATGGATAGATTAAAAAATTTGTTGAGCGAGGTAATATTATTAGTTAGAATATATTAGTATTGAGATTTTGTATTGATTTTATTAGAGATGTTAATTGGATGAAAAATTATTAGAGCAGGAAAACTTGTGAATATCAAACACCATGTTTAATAGATTTGAGAAGAAAATTAGAAGAGGTATGTCTAAATTCTGTTTTTAAATTATAATATGAAGAAAATTATTGAAAAATCTCTTCTTAATATCCCTTTATACATTTTATACATCTTATAATATAGGGAGCAATCAACATGAATAAACCTCAACGAAAACTCACAAAATATACTGATAATCCGTTAAATACGGTAAATATTCATCCTGTTACGGAATCTAACTTACAATTACCTTCACCTACTGGTAAACACGAAAAACAAGGTTATTTATTCATGAAATCATTGAACGGAAAAAGCACTTGGTCACGGAAATATTTTTATCTTAAAGACGGTAGTTTTTGGTGGGTATCCATTGGACATGGTAAACTTCGGTCGAATATTGAACAGAGTGAGAAAATTAATGTTTTGTTATGCGAAATGAGAATTGACTTTTCACAAGATCGAAGGTTTTGTTTCGAAATCGTTTGTGGAGCAAAACAGTAAGTATATAAATATATTATAAAATATAACTTATATATATATATATATAAATATAAAATTTATATTTTAATTAATTAATTTATGAATAAAAAAATAATAAAGAACAGCATGGATTCTTCAAGCAGAAACTGAAGAAGATCTTAAAAGTTGGAGTGCGATTTTTGAATCTGCAAAACGATACGCATTTCGAATGTCAAATGACTTATCATCATCCGGAACTACTGATAATAACACAATTCAAATTAAAGGTGATGATAGTCACACCTCCAAATCAGGTGTAGAGAATACACAAAATGATTCGTTAAATGATTCTAAATCCACGCAACCATCAACAACAACAACAACAACATCTTCATCATTATCATCATCATCATTATCATCATCACAGATCACATCAGATTCCAATAAACGAAAATCAACATCATTAACAGCTGTCACGAGTAATGATAGTAATGAAAATCAAACAACACAATCAATTAATCAAACGATAAATCAAGTGATAAATCAAGCGATTAGTGAAAAATCGTCGATACCATCTAACCAACAGAATTTTTGGGGTAGTATCCAATGGGGTATAATGCCGGCTATGAATTTGTTGATGAATAGTGTTAATGTGTCGGAGGGTGATGAAGATTCGGAAAAATCCACTGGTACTAAAAAAAAAAGAAATAGACCACTTAGTGGAAGTATACCTGTTGGATCTGGTGTTGATGGGTAAAATATTTTATTAAATTTGTTAAAATTTTTAATAAATAAATATAATTTGTACATTTATATTCTTTTTTTTTTTTTTTAATTGTATAGGTCTATCGCAGAGTATCCACAGACATTAATGTCACATAATTTACAACTTCATTTATTATTCGAAAATATGTCAGAGAAAGAATTTGTGTTGGATGGTAAAAATTTTTCTCATTTTTTTCATTTCTTCCACTTCCAACAATATTAATGAATATTAATTATATATAAATTAATTAATTATAGTATATCAATGTGCTTGGCAAAAGGATAACATGTTATTCAAGGGACGAGCATATTTCACTCAAGACAAATTTTATTTCTATTCAGAGATTATGAGTGTTATTAATATGGTATTTAAAATTAAATTTTCATGATCATGAGAAAGATTACAATATTATTATTAACTTTACTGATCTTTTTCTTTTAGTTTTATATATCATGGAAAGAAATAAAGACTATTTCATATAAAAAAACCGGTATCCAACAAACAGTGGAATTCTTTGATGAGAATGAAAATCAAAAGGTATAATATCTAATATACACACATATATATCTCTCTTTGTTTTTAATATTTAAATTTTTACTTAATTATAAATCTGGGAAATCAAATAGTATATTATAAAAACTTTCCTGGACAATGACAAAGTATTTAATGATAAAGCTCAATTGATATGGAAATTAGTTACGATTGAAAAGGTATAAAATTAAACAAATTATTTCTGTTCATTTTATTAGACAATTTATTTAACTCTTTAAATATTAGATTACATCATTGCAAAGTATCTTTGATGCTGTATGGAAATCTATCTCAACATCTCGCTTTGACAATTTTTCTCACGAAAAACTTGACGAGAACAAAAAAATCGAAGGGTCTTATAATGATTCTACAAATAATGTAAATAACGCAAATAATGTAATTTCATTAGATAAAGATGTTAATCAAAATGAGGAACATGAGAACAAAGAGAATAAAGAAAATAAAGGGAATAGAGAGAATAAAGGGAATAAAGAGAATAAACTAGAAACTTCAAAAAATAATGATGAGAGAAACAATAATTATAACGGTATCTACGACAAAAGTAATGGAATATATGAAAAAAATAATGGTATTTACAATAGTAATGATCAAGATAATAATAATTATAATGATAACAAAAATGATATTATGCCAGAGTCTGAATCAGATCCAGAGCCAGAGACGAAAGAAAGTTCTCATAATGTAGATAATCGGTAAATGTTTAAGAAAATAGTTATCAAAATAATTCGTGATTTTTTTTAATTTATTTTTTATTATTAATTTCCACATCTTCAATATTTACTTTATAAAATTATATTTGAACTAATTATTGTTAGACAAAAAGGTATTTATTTAATATAATTTAATTTAATTTCATATCTTTTTATATCAATTAAATAATCCAAATTCTTTACCCTAAAATTAATTAAATTAATTAATTTAATTAATTTAATTTAATTAATTTATATAGACGATGAATTTCCATCAAATCTCGTTTTACCAAAGGGCCCAGTGACATGCGGATGTTCAGATCATCTTGATAAATTAGAAACTGAAGTTGAATATCCGGTATCAGCTAAAAAATTATATCGAATGTTATTCGACACGAAGAGTACATTATGGGAACGAATGCATCAAAAGCAAGGAAATACTTTAACAAATTGTGGTCCATGGTTGATGAATGGAAGTGAAAGAAAACGAGAGTTAAAATTTATTATGCCTATTAACAATCCTATGTGTATGTATTAAAAAGAGATCCCAAAGCTCTCGATTTTACATATTATTAATTTTATTAATTTCATTTTGGTAATGAATAACTTTTTTTTTTTTTAGCTAAAGTTAAAGAAACAGATTGTATTCAGACGCAGACTTGTCTAAAATATGAAGATCATTTGTAGGTTTAATATTTATTTATTTATTTAATATTTTATTTATTAATTATTTTATTAATCATTTTATTTATTTATTTTATTTATTTATTTTATTTATTTATTTTATTTATTAATTGTTTATATCCTCTTTGATTTTGATTTTTAGACGTTATGTCGTATTAATTCAAACAAAAGCATTGCAAATACCTTATAATGATTCATTTTTACCAATGTCCAAGTGGTGCATAACTTATAAGACTCCAAATTCATGTAAAATAACCTGTCATATTGGTATAAAATGGTTTAAATCACCAATGGTCAAAGGTAATTTAAATTAAATTAAATTTCATACCTTTTTTTTTAATTTATCTTTCCACAAAAAAAAAATAAATAAATAAATTAATTAAATTTCACATCATTTTAATAGCTTTAATAAAAAGTGCAGCAATGACAGGGTTATCAGAAACTGCGACAGAAATCATAACAATATTAAATGCAGATATTGCTCAAGGAAAATCAAGGATGCCTTCAAATTCACCAATACGGACAGTTCATGTGAATTCTTTAAAACGTCGTATGTATCGACATAAGAATCGTACGCATACAACCATTAAGCATCCAGCTAGTAGTGAAGAAAGTATTTCATTATCTACTGGCAGTGCAGGATCAATAAACAGAATGACTAGATCAAATTCATTAAATTCTGTTAATATTGTTAATATAAACAATAAATTGTCAGACGGAAATAAATTTTTTGAAATAATTTCATCCAATACGAAATTAATTAAATTAATGTTAATAATATTAACATTATCGATGTTATATAATATTTATTTGTGGGTATATTTAAGTGAGAATATGAGTAAAAGTCCTACTACCAATGGGACACATTTTCAAACACCATTAGCACCCTCAGTATATCTTCGTGATTTAGAAGAACAAATACTTAATATTAGTAATAATAAATTGTTTTATGGGACCGTAGATTCTAAAAGGTAATTTGTCTTCTTTATATTTATCTTTATTTATTTATTTATTTATTTTATTTCATCTAACTTATTTATTTGTTTATTTATTTATATTTATATTTAAATTTATATAATAATTTTCAGTTATAGCAATTTTCTAGACACGAGAATACAAAATCCACCATATCCATGGTTACTTCACTCTCACCGTCGATTATCTAATGAGATATCTTACGCCCGAAAAAGAATGGCAGTCCTAAGATATGATTTATTATTAGCATTTAAATTAATTAATTCTATAGATAAAAAATTAATAAAAAATGAATATATCAATTGGTTATTGGATGAAAGAGCAAAATGTAATAAGGCAAAATGGATGTTTTTAAAAGATGAAATATACGAAAAAGAAAAGGAAAATAAAGAAAATAGAATTATTATTAGTAGAGATGAAGGTTCCGAAGGTAATGAACAATTTAATAACGGGAGCGAAGTAAAGAATGATGACAACAACAACAACAACAGCAACAACAATAATAATGAAATTTATAATAACTCACAATATGAAGAAAAAACCAGTGAATATATGAAAAAATATAAAATTGAACTTAAGAATATAATAAGATATTGTGGTAATATAAAAGAACAGTTAGACATTTTTGCTGCTACTTTTTAATATATCTTTATTTAATAATTTATCTTGTTTTTTTATTGTTTTATTTTGTTTATTTATTAATTTATTACACACAAAAAAAAATATGTAAATGAAAATATTCAAAATAATATTCAATATAATATTCAAAATAATATTCAAAAAAATATCCAAAATAATCAAAATATTCAACAATATATATGAACATATTGAACATATAAATCGGCAAATATACAATTAAAAAGTAATATTTATAAAATATTAATTAACTAATTGGGCCAATTCGATCAAAACTATCGATAAATTCATCTAATATCCTGGACGAATATGTATCTTTACCTTCCCTTGCTTTTTGAAACCAATAAATTGATTTTATTATATTTATCAGTGTCCCTGTACCATCGTTGTAGTAATCTCCTAACCTACGTTGACTTTCTGTTTTTCCATTTTCCGCTGAAATTAAATACCATTTTAAAGATTCTTTTTTATTTATCTCTATACCACATCCATTTTCATAACAAATTGCTACATCATTTTGACCATCCACAAATCCAAATTTTGTACATTCCATAAAATATTCAAATGCTTTCTCTACATCTCGATGAACTCCATCCCCATTATAATAACAACGACCTAACATATGTAGTGCAACAATATTTCCTCTCTTGGCTGATTCCAAATAATAATGATAACCTTTAGATTTATCTACTTCTGTACCAATTCCTTCTAAATAACAATTTCCAAGATTACAAAATCCTGTGGTGTTTCCTTGTTCAGCAGATTTTAAATATGTTTCAAAGATTCGTCTTTGTCTTTTATTTTCAGCAATAATTTTATTATTTTGATAACAAAATCCTATTAAAACCAAAGCTCTACTTGAACCTTCTTCTGCACATTTTGTAAATAAATGAAATGCTTTGTGAATATTTTTTTTTACCCCTCTACCTTCCAAATATAAATTTCCTAATAAAATTAATCCACTTGATTTGTTATTTCTTATTAAAAATTCAATAGGAAAGACAGAAGAATTTTTATTTGAAGAAATTATTATTTCATTAATGGCTTGCAAATAATAATCTAATGCTAATTGATAATCAACAGATGTTCCAATACCATATTGATATAAAAATCCAATCAAACTTGTAAAATAAATTCTATGAGGATATTTGATTAACTGATATAATAACATGGTAGGATTCTTATTAATTTCTTTAAGATATTTTTTGATTATAAATTTAATCAAATCTAAATGTTGTGATTCAAGGGTATTATAAAAAAAGTCAAATAAATTGAAAAGAAATTCATCACCTCTAGTTATTATAGGAATAAATGGTGTAAACATTGGTTCATATTCAATATTTTCTCTGAATAATTTAAATAATTTAAAAAAATAAATAATAAAATTTAAAAATAAAAATAATAAAATTTAAAAATAAAAATAATAAAATTTAAAAATAATAAATAAACAAAATGAGATAATAAAATATATAAAATCTTACATACATGTCATTACAAAATTTTGAATTTTCCAATTTTATTCTTTTTGCAGATGATATAAATTCATTTTGTTTGATTTTTGAATCAATTTTATCAAGACAATTGACTATTTCTTGAATACTAGGACGATCAGTTTCATTATGTTGTAAACAATCTATTAAAACATTTTTAAATTTAATAAATTTAATAAATTTAATGAATTTAATGAATATTTAAATAAATAATATTAAAATGAATATTATTAAATGAATATTATTATTTAATTTACCTTTACATAATTTTATTAATTCATAAGATATTCCCGATTGAATATTTTCTTTAAATAAAAGATAATTTATTAAATCTATTTTTTGTGATAAATTGTCTAAAATTCCATTAAAAATTTCCAATAAAATAATTCCCAAGCTGTAAATATCCAAAGATTTTTTGTGTTTCAAAGAATTGCTAAGTTTTGTAATTTTAGGATCATAATATTGATTAGGTTGAAAGAATCGTTCAGTCAAATTATTAATTTCTGTTATATTTTTTGAAATTTCTAATCTATTCAATTTAATATTTCCATTGTGAACAAATATATTTTTGGAACTCTAAATAAAAGAAATTTTATTATTATTATTATTATTATTATTATTATTATTATTATTATTATTATTATTATTATTATTATAAATAATAAAACAATAAATAATAAAACAAATAATAAAATAATAAATAATAAAACAAATAATAAAATAAATAATAATAATTACCAAACTTCCATGAATAATATCTTTGGAATGTAAATACATTATCAAACTTGCAATTTGTTTGGCAAATGATAGTTTAGTATTCCAATTCAGATTCTTGAAGTTATCTTTCAAATATTTCTGAAGAGACCCATTGTTTGTATATTCAAGGATTAACATAAATTTATTTGGATCTGACACAGTTATTCCATAAAATTTTAATATGTTTTTATTTTTTTCTAATTCTTGATATGCTGTAACCTATACAAAGTAGTCATATTATTTTTAGAATTTAAATTATTCATTTCAACGTAAGTACTTAAATATCAATTAAAATATCAAAACTCACTCTATTCAAAAAATCCTCGAGAGTTGACCACGGCATTGTTTTGAGAAACACTTTCTTTTGAAATTTTCGTAAAATCGCTTCGTAAATATCCCCATGAAATTCATTATTATGTACCCTTTCAAATTCGTTATAATAATAAAGTGTAATATGTTTTTTGACACATAGATTATTGAATAATAATTTATACATCCATACGTTCCAATCTTTAACAACTTCGGGAATGCTCATGGTAACAAGAATGACAAAATATCGTATAACAAATATGGTAATTAAATAATCAGTGATTATCTAATGATCATCAATAAATTAATGATCCGCAAAAATTTAAATTTTTTTGGAAAATAATGAAGAATTCCTTTTGTAATAAATATCCAGAAAAAGATTGTCACACAGACACTTTACATCCATTCGAACTCGAAATTCGTATGGAAAATAAAAACAAGCCTTATTAAATAAATGTATATACATTTAGATCAATATGAGAAGTTCTCGCTTACAACAAAAAATAAAAAAAAAAAAAGCTTATCATGCATGTTATTATAACCGCTTTAAAAAATGTTGTCAATGCTTTAAATATTACTTCTCTTGCTTTGGCTGCAAGCTCTGGATATCATTTAACTAACTGTTCTTCAGGAAAACCGATACTAAACTTCAACTAATATTTTGTAAAAATTTGTAAAATGTAAAATATATGAAGACAACAGCGAATGGCAAATTTGGACTAATTATGAACATTTTTATATGCACAGGCGAGAAGTTCAATATTTCTCCAAAGTCGATTCATTTGTATAACCTTATAACTTTGATCCTTGACTTTTCTTTTAATCTTATTTTATTATTGCAGTTAATTTCTAACAACTTTATGCATTTCCTTACAATAAAACTTTCAAGGCGGTAGATATTAGGGAGAATAAAATTTTTTGGAAGATTTGTAACTAAATAGGCATTTATACCGAAATTTAGATTGTAAGCGTGATTTACCTCAAACGAAGCCGGTTATAATAAACACTCTTGGATATCCATATCTCTTCTTCTCTTCTCGTGAATGAATTTGATGTAGCGTTGATGACTTATGCCAATTTCCTTAAGTTATTGCCTTGACAACCTCGAAGGCTAGTGCCAAGTAATGTGTTAGAGAAAAAACTGTATGCGAAACTACGTGATGCAGAAGAGAAAACCTCACAATGAGAACGAACTATAAAGAAACAATTTTTTGATCTATCATTACGAATTAAGAATCCACGACGATCCACTTTTCTTTAAAAAGTTCAAATATTACATATTCGGAGAAATAAAGAATACATGTTATAAATGCTTCCGTTACACGAAATTAAATTTGGTAAAATCTTAGACTATATTTTAACGAATCCTTACATTGAATTTAAGATAATAATCATGAGTGGGAAAAAACCATCGAAACCTTTTGGTTTCGGATTTACGCAAGGTTCAGGAAATAAACCTAAATCATTATTTGAATCGGAAGAATTACCACGTCAGAAACCACCATCATTAGATTACTTTTCTGATGATGCTCAACCAAAAAAAAGGAAACTAATTACTTTAGAAGACGAAGATTCTGATGGCGCCGATAACTCAAATAATTTAGAAAGTTTACAAGAAGCTAACGATGAGTATGATTATGATGCATCATTTCCTTCGCGGACGTCAACTGGTTTGTAACACATATAATCAAGAATTTATCTAAGATTTAGCAATTAAGCTCATAAACCTCTTTCTTTAGGACTTCAATGTTTTGTACCACAGGGCTATAAATCAGTTGAAGAAACAACCAACATACGTGAAAGTCAATTAGATAAGAAAGAAGAGGTTGACATCGACGACGATCCTTTAGATGCATTTATGCAAGATATTGATAATCAAGTCCAGAAACAACAGCAAGAAAAGTCTGAACAAGAAAAGGTAAATATTATTTTATTTAATATTAATATAAATAATTAATCTATATTCCTAAAATTAATGAAATATAATAATATCAATAATATTTTTAGATTCGTAGAGACGATATTGAAGATGAAGATTTTGTCGAGAGCTATTACAATCACATGAAAAAGAAAGGAATAGAAGTTGGCAAAAGTCAAAGACCAATTGAAAAGGATGAGAACGCTAATTCAGATGATGAAGTCTATGCTGCAGCTCGAGCCATTGATTCTCAACTTGAGTAAATATTCATTATTATTATTTTTTTTTATCTTATCTTTAATTCTTTAATTCTTTACCAATAATAATATATTAAAATATATTTCATGATTTAGATATGATTCTGACGATAATCCTATCATTGAACAAAAACGCAAAGATATTGAACCACTTTCGGCTGTTGGTAAAGTTCTCATTAACATTATTACGTTTCAAATCGTCAAAAAATGAAATTAATTTTACTACTAAATTTATTATTATTATTATTATTATTATTATTTTTTTAAAAAAAAATAGATCACTCTAAAATTGAATACCCCGAAATCGAAAAATTCTTCTATGAAGAACATTCAGATATCGCAAATTTATCTGATGAAAAATTAAGAGAGATTCGTCGAGAACTTGGTGATTTTTAATTTCTATTTACTGAATATTAAATTTGATTTCAATAAAAAATTTTACTAAAAAATAATAATAATATAATTTATAGATATGAATGTATCTGGTGCCGATGTTGTAAAACCATGCATTTCGTTTGCTCATTTTGGTTTTGATGAGTCATTGTTGGATGCCATAATTAAACTCGGTTATTCCGAACCAACAGGAATTCAGAAACAAGTATTTTTTTGGCCATGAAATTTATAATTATAAATTACTTTTTTTTTTTTTTATTTATTTATTTTTATACTTATTTTACGGGATATTTTATGTGATTTTAGGCAGTGCCTGTCGCATTATGTGGTCGAGATATCATTGGTATTGCTAAAACAGGTAAGAATGTGAATTTATGTAATTTATTATAAAAATAATTCTTCATATAATTTTGCAATTTTTTTTAGGTTCGGGAAAAACTGCAGCCTTCATATGGCCCATGTTGATTCACATAATGGATCAAGATGAACTAAAGAAAGGTACGATGTATGAATATTCAATTATTTTTAATTTGTTATGTTATGTGCTTACTTTTTATAAAAATTTTAATATAATCATTAGGAGAAGGACCGATTGGCTTGATATTAGCGCCTACAAGAGAATTGGCTAATCAGATTTACATAGAATCCAAAAAATTTGCAAAGTGCTACGGTCTGAGGTAGAAATCAAAGAATGTAAAATTTAATCCCATGCTTGGTAGAATGGAATCAAAAACGACGCACACACTACTCTCTCTGCTCCCCAAATCCTTTGCTTTACCCCATTGCAGAGTTGCAGCAGTTTATGGAGGTGCTCCGAAAATGGACCAATTCAAAGAACTTAGACCCGGTGGTATTGAAATTTTAGTGGGAACTCCGGTAAGTAAATAATTTCTCGATTATTTTATATAATTAGAAATTAATTTCTAATTTATAATATTTACAATTAATAATTACATTTACAATAAAATAGGGTAGATTAATTGATATGGTAAAGATGAAAGCGACAAACTTCCGAAGAGTTAGCTTCTTAGTTCTTGACGAGGCTGATAGAATGTTTGATCTTGGTTTTGGTATGTAATAATATTAATAAGTTTTTGAATAAAAATAAAACGTATTAAACAATTTTACTCATTAATATGCTTTCTTTAAATATATAAATTTATTTTAATAGAACCACAAGTACGTTCCATATGCGACAACATTAGACCAGATAGACAAAGTATATTTCAATTATTTTATTTATTTTATTTATTTTTTTATTTTATTTATTTTATTTTGCAAATGTGGAATCTTATAAATATATCTATCTATCTATCTATCTTCAGCATTACTCTTTAGCGCGACATTCCCCAAAAAGGTTGAAATTTTGGCCCGCGAAGTAACTACGGAACCAGTGAGAATTTCAATTGGCAATGTCGGGCAGGTATGGAAAATATATTTATTTAATTAATTATTTTATTTTATTCATTTATTAGCTTATTCATATTCCTTTTTATTTACTACCTCGAGTAAATTATTTATGTCTATTTTAAAAATATATTTAATATTTTACTCAAAAAAAAAAAATTTCAGGCTAATGCTGATATCACACAAGTAATAGAAATTTTAGCTGATGATGGTTATAAATGGGAATGGCTAATGTCACATCTGACGGCAGTATGCATGGGTATAGAACAATGCATTTTCGCTATATTTTTTATTATATTTTTTGTTACAATTTTTTTTTTTTTTGATAAAAAGGGAATTGATAAAAGTTAAATAATTATTAAATTAATAATTAAATAATAATGAATCTCTCTATTTTGTACTAGAGGGAAGCGTTCTTGTTTTTGTTAGTCGCAAAGGAGGTGTGGATGAATTATCGCATAATCTTAAACAATCCGGTTACGAATGTAAGCTTTTTGTACATTTGTGTGAATTATTGACCAAAAATTTCATTTATATAATTTATATATAATTTATATATAATTTATATAAAATAGGCGGTGCTTTGCATGGAGATATGTTACAATCTGATCGTGATAAAGTATTAAAAGATTTCAAGAATAATAAATTTCCGATCATGGTAGCGACTGATGTTGCTGGTTTGTATTAAAAAGTTGATGATTTATAGTTATAAATTAATTTATTATTTAACTAAATTTTATTGTTTTAACGAATCATAGCAAGAGGTCTAGATATCAAGGCTGTCAAAACTGTAATTAATTACGACATCGCCCGTGATATCGATTCACATGTGCACCGCATCGGAAGAACAGGAAGAGCTGGTATGTCAAAAAAAAATTTTTTTGCCTAACTAGGAATAAAAATTTAAATTTAAAATGGATAATTGCTTTTAGGTGAAAAGGGCACAGCATATACTCTTATTACTCAAAAGGAGGACAAATTTGCAGGAGATTTAGTCAGAAATTTAGAATCTTCGGGACGGCCTGTTCCAGATGCTTTAATGAATCTTGCATTGCAGGTAAATATTTTATCAACAAATTTAATATATAAATCGAACTTCATTTAAATATTTAATTATTTCCAGAACGCAAGGTTTAGAAAGTCAAGAAGTATGATTCGAGGTCGAGGCCGTGGACGTGGAAGTGGTAAAGGAGGTCTTGGAAGAGGTCGTGGTGAGCAATAATACTCTTTCGTTTTAAATTTAATATAGATACAAGAGTACATAATAAAGTATGAATATTCCACAATAGGTCGCGGGGCAGTCGGTTCTAGCTCAAATGCAATACCTCTTGGAGGTAGAGCTGGCATTGGATCTGGATCATCATCGACGCCTTATGTTGACCTCGGATCATCTGGTCGTGAAAGTTCTAAATTTCAGATGAACTTCCAGAAAGCTTCCTCTGTTGAATCAGAGTTGGGATTATTACGTTCCGGATCTACACCTACAACACAAACACTTCCACGATCGTCAACATCATCATCAACAGGCAATCAACGTAAAAGACGTTGGGATTCTTAATTCACTTTACACATTTTTTTTATTGATAATTTATTTTATTTTTTTTTTACAATAGTAGTAACAATAATTAATTAAACATCAATTTATCAGATTATCCGATTTAAAGTAATATTTTTTTTTTTAGAGTTAAAAAATTTTACTTCGGTATTTAATTGTTAATGAATTTATTAATAAACTAAAATCGTAGAGTTCATTAAATAACTTTTTTTTTTTTGGATATGCTAATTTAATTTCATACTAGTAATTGATAGTAATGATAATGATTTATTAAAATATAAATATATAAATATCTATTTGATAAAGATAAAATTTTTAATCTGAAAAAAAAGAAATCAATTTTTACTCAGTATAAATTGATTGTGCTTGGTATGCGGAAGGTTCGGAAATATTAGAAGTTAAAGCGTTTTCATCGATCCCACTTAAATTTCCGTCTTCATCATAAACGTTCCCTTTGATGTTCATCTGAGGAGGATAATAGTATCGTTGTTGATTATACAAATATTGCGGCCAATATTCTTGTTGCTGTTGTTGAACATCAACCAATTTTTCCATATAATCCACATACCAACCATCCAAATATTTTTGAATTGCTTGTTGACGGTCATGCCAAGCTTCCTTCCAAGCACTCATCGGTATTTGTTGATTAGGTGTATCACTTAACGAAGCTTTCCCTGAGTTGACTTTATTGGCGTCAATGAAGAAACCAATTACAATTTGAGCAGTTGAAACGCAACCAATAACTATTAACAGAGCATTCCATATGAAAAACCTAAATAAAAGTATATAATTAATTAATTAATATTTTAAAATTAATAAAAAAAAAAAAAAAAAAAAAATGAAAATAAAATGAAAAATACATCATAGTTAATTGAATAACAAATGCAAACCACCGGTTCATTGCAATTGTTAACAAAGTGAAAATACGAAACGACGTATGTAGTAAATTTAATAATGTACTAATAATAAACATTTTTTCTAATGACTACGATGCTTAATTTTTTAAAGAATGAAATAATTCCTTTTCGAAATAAATAAATGCTCTAAAAGAGTTGAAATGATTAAGCTTTTATTTTCACAATTTTCAATTCAATTTTCACATGTTTGTTTATGCCAAAAACCCAATAAAATCATGCTAGTCAATTTTGTTATTTTATTACACGACTCCTTTTTAATTTTAAACTATTGTATTTCCCAATTATTATAGTGTAATATAAAAATCGAATTATTCAAGATCCTGTATCCGCAGTAATTTCTTGTACTACGAAGACATTTTATTTATAAAAAAAAAATAAATTGAATATCAATTTTTTTTTTTTTGAGTAACATAATAAATAAAAATTTCTATTTATTTATTTAAACATTTGTATATTAAATTATTCAATTTCTTGTGAAAGCAGCAGAACACTTAGCCATAATTTGACTTGCTCTAGATATACTATCAGTCATGTAGAAATCTTGAATAACTGGTTTTAATACAGCACCTGATGATTTTGTAGAATCTTTAATAATATGATTAATACTCAATTCACGGTTACTCACATCTTCAACTATATCGTAATGAGTAAGATGTGGTGCAATTTCATTCATACGATCACGGAGAGAAGGAAGATCATCGTATGGTAATGTATATCCTGCAACCTCAGACAATGCGCGAATGATCTATATAATGTAAAAATATATATATATATGTTATATATGTGAAATTAATATTATTAAATAATTGATAGAAATATTCATCTAACCTTCCAATCTTCACGTGCGGCAGATGGTGGAGGAACTGCTGATCGAGTAAGTTGTGATCTACCCTCAGTGTTCACATATGTTGCGCTTTTTTCTGTGTATGTAGCTCCTGGAAGAATAACATCAGCATAATGTGCACCTGTATCACCATGATGTCCTTGATATACAACAAATGCATTTTTGGGAATATCTTCTGGTTTAACCTCATCTGCACCCAATAAATATACAAATTTTGGAGTAATTTTGCTTGAGGTCTCTAAAGGAATAAACCCAATGTCGTATGCTGCAGAACGGCTCGCAGCCTATTTTTGTTGGATAAGAAAAATATTTAGTTAAAAAAAAAATTAATATTTTGTCGCATTAATCTAAATTAGGAAAATCCCAAAGTTTATATATTAATTTTTTTTTTATACTAACTCTTTGTAAAACATTATAACCATTCCAGTTATCTTGAATAAATTTTGTTTGATGTTTCTTGATGATTTTAGCTACAGTTGAAAAAATATATTCTGCATCAGGATTTTCCAAGATTCCACTTCCAATTATGATCAATGGTTTTGTAGATTCTGCTATCTTTTTAGAGAACGGATGTTCATCATTTAATATATTTTCAAGTTTATCACTACTAATACCAATGTGATCATATTCATAAGTTGTATTACTGGGATGACCAATTAATCCTATATCTAATCCATTATGAAGGTAACTCTTTAAAATTCTGGTATTAAGAATAGGAGCTTCGTGACGAGGATTAGTTCCCACTAATAAAAGTACATCTGCATTCTCAATTCCTGTTATTTTACTGTTAAGAAGGTAATTAGAACGGAAATCGACACCGTGAACAGGCATTTTAGATCCATTAAATATATCAATAGTAAAGTTGTCGCTTCCAAATTTATTAAATAAATCTTTCAGGGCAACCAAACTTTCGGTATCTACAAGTTGTCCAGCAATTGCTTTGGCTTCTGGACCTTTAATATTATGGATTTCATTAGCCACGAGGGCGAGTGCATGTTCCCAAGTTGACGGTGTAAATTTATCCCCATTACGAATCAATGGAGTTGTGAGACGTTGCCTTTTGAGTCCATCAAAAGCAAATCTTGTTTTGTCAGAAATCCATTCTTCATTTATAACATCATTAATTTTAGGTAAGATTCGCATTACTTCAATTCCTTTAGAATCTATCCTAATATTACTTCCAATTGCATCTAATACATCAATTGATTCGGTCCTTTTAAGTTCCCAAGGTCTATAAGTAAATGCATATGGTTTAGCTGTTAAAGCTCCAACAGGACATAAATCAATTATATTTGCTGACATCTCGGAATTTAGTGTTTGTTCAATATATGTACTTATTTGCATATCATTGCCTCTACCACTTGTCCCTAAATCAGGGACACCAGCAACTTCATTAGAAAATCTAACACATCGAGTACAATGAATACATCTATTCATAGAAGTTTTTACTAAAGGTCCAAAATCTTTATCTTCCACAGCTCGTTTTCCAATAATTTCATGAAATCTACCTCGATCACTACCATATCTAACTGCTTGATCTTGTAAATCGCACTCACCCCCTTGATCACATATAGGACAGTCTAGAGGATGATTGGCTAATAAAAATTCCATTACACTCTCTCGAGCCTTCTTAACGAGATTTGTTTCGGTCTTGATTTTCATACCAGGCATTACAGGCATCGCGCAAGAAGCAACCGGCTTTGGTGATTTTTCTAATTCAACAAGGCACATTCGGCAATTACCCGCGATTGAAAGTCGCTAAATATACAAATTCAAAGTTATTTAAGGTTATTCAAATAGTGCCTAAAGGTATAATATAGATTCACCTCATGATAACAAAAGCGAGGTATGGTATAACCAGCTTTTTCACATGCTTGTATGACAGCGCTTCCTTGTTCAATTGATACAGGATTTCCATCTACAAATACTTCAATCTGTTGGTATCTAGGGATACTTCTACAGAATCCACGTACTCCTTGTTTTTAAGGATAAGACATATTGAGCTGTTTATTTGAAATCTGCTAAATTGAGAGGATTAATTGATTATCAATCATAGGAATATACCTTGTCCTTTTGGACCAAAGGAAGTTAAGCAAGAAAGAAACTTTAACATTAGAAAACAAAAAAAAAAGTGACAAGCATCAGTTTTTTTTTATGTACCCAAATAATGAGAGAAATGTGTAACGATGTGAGATCACTGGACTGGACTTGGACAGAACGGGAATACACTTTTTGATAAAAAATACTGGTAAAATTCCCCTTTTTGACTTTTGATAGGTGCAGAGCATGTGGGTTTATATTGTGAATATATTATTATTATTATAAGGAATTAAAAATAGAAAATGTAAGAAGATGGTTATTTTTTTTGTTGCACTTAAGTTAAAAAAATTCCCTTTCTTAAGGAAAATTTATAAAAATTTATTTCTTAGTTATTAATTTATCACATTATTCCTTCTCTTAAATTCATTAATTCGCATTTTTTTCCTTCTCACAATCCTTATAAAAAACCAATTATTTTCCAAACATTATAATTTAGTGTGTGGTATAAACTTTAACGAAGCTTAAATTTGATTTATTTGTCACAATTATTTTTACCATCCGACTGGTCAAGATATAACGAAGTCAAAATTTTTAATAGAACCTGGTTGTGTTAACAGGTTAAACCAAAATATTAAATAAGACGACATATATTCTTCACCTCAATTATAAATAATAAATAATAGAGTCAATACCTATTCATTTTATTAATTTTAAATAAATCAATATACCAACTTTCTTGCAACCTTGTAACATAAATAAACATGGGAGCATTTTTATCAGCCCTAGGTAAAAATGGCGATTCGACGGTACCAGATTTAAATCTTGATCTTGAAAGTAAGTTGTTACTAAAAGAATAAAATATATAAATTAAAAATAGTGATAGAATAATCTAATTGTTTTTAAGTACTTTGTCATAAAGGACGAGTTTTAACATAAAAGGAGAAATTGGAAATCGAATAAATTAAATAGCAAGAAAGACAGTGCGTATACATTTAGATGGCTTCTAGAAAGGGAACAACATTTGATGCCACCTTTTTTTTTTCTTTTTTTGAATTTATAATTAATTTAATTTAAGAAATATAAAATTATTTTAGATCATAAAAAAAAATGCGATATATTTAGATAATAATTAGTTAATAATTAGTTGTTAGATAAATAATTAGTTAATAATTAGTTGTTAGTTAATAATTAGTTAATAATTAGTTGTTAGTTAATAATTAGTTAATAATTAGTTGATAGTTAATAATTAGTTGAGTTAATAATTAATTAATAATTTGTTATTTACAAATATTTTTTTACATTAATAATTGTTCTTGCAAATGCAGACGCTACACCAACACAAGCAGAATCAGTATTATATGCACATGTTTCTGCTCTACTTCGACCAACCGATGCACTCTTAGATTCATTACGAAGTTATGAAGGATGTGGAGATCTAATTAGGAAAGCAATCTCTAACCCGACACCTGATAATGAAGAAGAAGCTTGGCAAGCAGTTCAACCTGCAGTCGTCAAATTAAAACGATATTTTGAATATTCAGGTTCACTTGGTAAGACCAATTATCACACTTAGAAAAGGAAAGCAATATCAATATATATTAAATAAATTAAAAATATATTAAATTCTTGTTATTAGAGGATGCCTTACCAGAGTTATTAAAAGCACTTTGTGAAGGAAACGTGAGAAGAAATATTGAACAGCATCAAGCACTTACAAAACTATTAGCTGATATACTAGATTTTTCTTTTGAGTTTGACTATTTAAAGGTTAATTATTTAATTTATTTTATTTAATTTAATTATTTATATTATTATTATTATTTAATTTTATTATTTAATTTAATTATTTAATTTTAATTGTTGGTGTTGAATATTTTATGTTTTATTATATAATAGATGAAAACACCTTCTATTCAAAATGACTTTTCCTATTACCGACGAACTCTGAGTCGTGGAAAACTTGCTAATGAAGTTAGTTTTATTGTATAATCATAATATTCATATTATCATTTGTAATATAATATATTATAATATATAAGGATTAAATGCAAAAATTTATAATTTTATTTTAGACAGATTTGAAAACTGCGATGATCGAGGATGAACTTGCCAATCGAATTTCCTTATTTTATGCATATCCAACACCCATGCTGAAAACTGTTACTGATGTAACTGCACTTTTTGTTGCCAAGGTAAAAAAAAAAAATAGATTGAAATAAATATTAAAAATATTTTCTTTTTTTCCTAACATTATATTATTACTATATATATATATATTTAATGACAATGATAATGATAGAACAATCTTGGACGAAGTGTATCAGAATGTTTATCAGGATTAGCGGCGGCATGCTATCATGCGGTTATTAAAAAAAGAACACAACGACCTGAAACAACAGCTTTTTGTTTAAGAGTAATGGTAGTATCAATTATATTATATGATCACATAGATCCACAAGGAGCTTTTAATAAACAATCCCCTATTAATGTAAGTTAAATATATATAAATAAATATATATATATATCATGTATTTTAGTATTTTAATTTTGATATTAAAAAAAATAATTAACAATTTTAAATATAATTTTTAGATAAAATCATCTGTTAAAGCCATTCAAATACATGGTACAAATGAATATACAAATCTGATGTCTGCTCTACGATTCAACACCAAACATTTAAATGATGATTCTACACCAAAAAATATAAAACAACTGCTGAGTAGTCATTAAATTATTGAATGGAAAAATTAATGAACATTTATTAACTTTAATTTTTTTAATTGCTTATAATTACTTATTATTATTATTATTATTATTATTACTATCATCATTTTTAATGGGGATTTATGGTGGGTTAGGTTAAAGTAGGCTGCTGGACCTGCTTACTTAAATCTTTTATTTGATTATATTAATTAATTTCTAATGAATTCTATTTATTTTGGAATCTTTTAATTGATTTGAGAGGGCAGGTAACTGGCAACTTTTGTATTTTAAAGTTGAACATTACACAAACATCATCCTTACATTTCTTTCAGACATTATTCTCAGTTGGACATTACTCTCTCATTACTTTTAAAATATTATTACTTTAATATTCAATTTAACATTATTTTTCATATTATTTCCAAACATTATTCTCAATTTGGTCTTTAATGATTCTTAAATTTAGCAATAATTTTGAAAGTGATTATTAATTCCAGATATACAGTAATACACCCTTTTTTTTTTCTGAAAATAATTCCAAATATTTCATATCATATTTTCATTCTTGTAAAGCTGATTTTATTTTTATTGAACTATCCTTGACAATTATTCATTTCAGAAAATAATTAAAAACCAGTTATCAATTTATATTATGTTTTATTTTTTTTTCTTACCTATGCTTTAACAATGTTTTTTTATTATGTTTTATCATGATTTATCTCATTTTATATTATGTTTTACTATGTTTTAGTGCTAGTCCAATGCATTTCTAGAATAAATAATCTTTTTTGAGGTTACCATTATAGATAGATCTAAAGGTTTTGTTGTGTATAATCAGTGTTTTGCTATAAAATTGTTAATAGATAAAATATAAAGAGATTTGAGAAATTATTTGAAATGTAAATATTCTAATAAATATTATTTTCTCAATCTAATCTGTTTTCAATCTTTGTTTTCAATCTGCCCTTCAATAAGTTTGTAAAGAAAGTATAGATCTCACATCCTCTGTGAATCTTAATGCATCTAGAAATGGTAACAAATCTAATAATGCTTCATCAAATGGATCATTAATCCAACCTTCGATTGGTATCCCATTTTCTATTCAAGAAATAAGTTTCAAATAATTAAATATTATAATAAAAAAGGTCACTTTCAAATTTACAATTTACCTTGATGCATTGCATATGAAATGGGTGAATTATCTACTATGCAAACCCTTGAAAGATCAGGTTCAACAATTGTCAAATCTTTAATGAATAATCCATTTCGATGAGTGCATGACTAAATATAATATAATATAATATAATATAATTAATAATAATAATAATAATATAATATAATTAATTAATAATAATAATATTTTTAATTAATTTGAAATATTTCTATAAGAAATAATCTTAGAATTACTTTAATTTTTATACCTGACGGAAAAGTCTTCGTGATATCAAATTTCTATTTGGATCCAACAAATCTATTACTGGATCCGCATATTCTGGCATAGAAGCAGTGAAAATTATCACTTTATACCATTCACTAACCTATCGATTTTTTTTTTAAATAACACAAATTATAACAATTTAAATCATTTCCTATTCTTTTGAAATTTCAATTTTTTAAATGCTGATAATTCAAATTATTCAAAATTACTCAAAATTATTCAAAATCATTCAAAATTTCTTCAAATTACTTCAAATTCTTACCTTTTTCAAGAAATGGTCTACATGTGGTCTTTTATGCATATAATATAAACATGCATGATTATCTACCATAACCTCAATCATGTGTGCATCCGTTCTTGCCCCTCTAGATGTAGAATGTACCAAAGTTTCATCCAAGTCCAAAATAAGTGTTTTTGCTTTCAACAAAGATGTCATCATTGATGGGGATAATGCTGTTTGATTAAATTGTTTCTTGTTATGTTTCATTCGAATCACCGAATTGGATGTTTTTAATTCTTCGATAGTTGCTAAGGTTTGCTGCAATTGTTTTTTGGGTTTAAAACGTGGAGAACGACGTAATGGCTGTTGTGATTGATTTATATTATTATTATTCGTATCCGGTGTTATTGTTGTTATTGGTCCCCGTGTCATATATGAAGAGGATTGTAAACTCGTCTTACTGAAAATATTTGATATAAAAGTGCAAAATATTGCCCAGTAATATAATAAAAATGTTGTAGGATATGACGAAAAATTATTATTGCTATTAACATCTTCTTCGTCATTTACTGTTGCATTCGATAACGAATCCGAAGGTGTAGCATTAGAATGTTCTGAGTAATTCTCTTGAGAAACAAGAGATGCAGATGAAGTGGGTGCTAGCATAACTAGCATTTGCTATTTTAGTTGTGTGGTCGTTTATCAACTTGTATGACAGAAATTTAAAATTCGCTAAAATCTGTTTCTATATAAAAATTGCAATATTAAAAGATATGAACATACATACTATAGTTCCTTAGTCGAAAAACTAATGAAAAGTCGAAGAACAAAATATATAAGAATGCTATATGAATTTTATTAAATATTTAACACTGTTCGTACAGTTCTTTGATAAGAGAGAAAAAACAGTATTTGAAGGATAATAAGCCCCGTCATTTAAAGAATGATTAAACCGATCTACAGGCCATGTGATCCTGTGGAACTCAAAAAACCCAAATATAGACTTTGGTTCCAGATACAAAAATAAATTCAATCAATATCTATTATTTTTGAAACAGATTGATTGTCTTGTTGCCTTGTTGTCTTTGTTGAATTCAATTACAATTGTCAAAAATAATTTACATTTTTAATTTTTCATTATTTTTTTTTTTTGATAAAATCTTTTATTCAAGTAATCTTTGATCGCGATAACAATAATAATAATAATAATAATAATAAATAATAATAATAATAATATATTATTATTGCGTATAGAATTTTAAAATTTTAAAATGATCACCTTTAAATTTAAGGAAAATTTAGGAGAATTAATTTAATAGTATCTAAGAAACATCTAAGTCCAATCAAAAGAAGCACAATTATATTTAGTGTAACAACATTGTATTACAAATTTCATTGCCTTACAATACTCAGCCCCCATAACAAGTTTTTTTTTTGGTTTTCAATTTTTTTTTTTTTCTCATATTGAGTTGAGAATTTCACTCTATAAAAGTTTTTAGCATATATCTTAAACTTATTAAACTTTAATGATGGCGACAAGAGTGTATATTGGTCGTTTGGCAAGAGATGCCCGTGAACGTGATGTTGAAAAACTCTTTCGTAACTACGGAACAATCAGAGAAATAAAATTGATGAATGGCTTTGGTTTCGTCGAGTTCAGAGACCACCGTGATGCTGATGACGTAGTTTATGCTTTTAATGGAAAAAGTTTCATGGGAGAAAAGTATGTATTATTGAAAAATTGATTTAATACCTGAACTGTCGTTCATATTTTATAAGTTTGATGTATCGTAATGTTATAATTTATTTTGATTTTTGATTATTTTTTTTTTTAATTAATCTTTATAGGTTGATTGTTGAATATGCTAGAGGTGAACGTAGACGCCGTGACCGTGATGATCGTAGAGATAGGGATAGAGACGATCGACGGGATAGAGATAGAGATAGAGACGATCGTCGCCGTGATGACCGCGACCGTGATCGTGGCAGGCACGTTATAAGAATCTATGAAAATAATATTCTTATATCTTAATTTATTATCTTTTATTCTTTTTTCTGTTTTATTTGTCTAATATTTATTAATTTTTAGTAGATTTGCACCCCCCCAACGAAATCCTCAATATCGCTTAATTGTTGAGAACTTGTCATCAAGTTGTAGCTGGCAGGTATGCATAATTATTAAATAATCCATACATTTGCCGCCTGCAGCACTCGCTACTTGGCTGGCCTATTGGTCCCACTTTTATAAGTCCCTGGTTTTCTACAAGATTGATGTTGTATTGGCTTTGGTTGTAGCTCTCCTTTCCCTGTGGTTGCTTATGGTTGCTTTTGGTTGCTTGTGGTTACTTTTGGTTGCTTGATGTGGTCCTTTGGATTCTATCTACCATTTTCGTTTAATGGCTACTCTTTTGAAAATCTGTTTTGGATTATTTTTATCTGTACGTTCCCAAAGAGACTCAACAACCATCATGCGGCAGTTAGAAAATTATGTTCAAATATTAGAATTCATATTATGTTTCTTATGCCTGGAAGGAAGGAAGAGAGTACCTCATTTGAGTTTTGAGGGGAGCCACCTATTTAGTCTTTTGATTACTCCCGAATCTGGCTTCTTTTGGCCTATTATTTGGGATACCATATACTTCCTTTCTTGGGTTCTACCGGCTCTTGTTCCTTCCATTGACATTGGTACTTGGCATAAGGAAATTACAAGAGCCTTAGAGGATCTTTTGAAGCACATCGTCCGTTTACCATAACTCAATCAAAACCTCCTTCCCCTCCTCCTCTACCATTCTTTAAAAAAAAAGGATTTGAAGGACCTAATGCGAAAAGCAGGAGAAGTTACTTTTGCCGATTGTCACAAAGATCGCGATGGGGAAGGGTAAATATTTATTTATCGAGCGCATTATTATTCATTGATTAAATAATCAAATTTTCATATAATACATTTCGTAGTGTGGTTGAGTTTTCCTCATACGAAGACATGAAAAATGCCATCAGAAAACTTGACGATACCGAATTGAAGGGTAAACGCATCATTCTTCGTGAAGCACCGGTAAATATTTTTTTTTGAATATCTTCACAATTTTTATTTAATAATTAATATCATTTTATTTATCATTTTATTTATCATTTTATTTATCATTTTATTTATCATTTATTTAGGATAATGACACTGATCGCGAACGTGAACGTGAACGTCGTCGTCGCTCTCGAAGCCGCTCGAGATCTCCTCGTCGTTCTCGTCGTTCAACTTCTCGTTCTCCACGCAGGGTTTCCCGTCGCTCTCGCACAAGATCCAAGAGCCCACCTGCTAACAACGGCAAAGATAATAGCTCCCGCAGTCCAACTCGTAGTCCAAAAAGGAGTAGATCTAGAAGTGTCAAACGAGAACGTGTTAGTGATGACGAAAAGTAAGTTTCTTTGATATTTTATTCTATTAATTTCATAATGATATCTTTATTAATCAAGGTCAAATTTCAGGGATATGAAAGATGATTGAACTAATAAATCACCAGGAATTCCATAAATTACTTATTTTACTTATTCTTCAGATAGAATTATTTTTTTCTATTTACACTTTTCATAATATTTCTAAAATATTCTATAAACACTCGTTATTTTGTCTTTTGTTCTATCTTTTAATAAATAAACTGATTTTTTTAGCTTAAAATTTTGATTTATTCGTTTAAATTTACAAAATTTTTTTGATCATAGAATGACATTGGAGGTATTCGGAATTTTCATAATTCGGAAGTTAAATACTGCTTAAAGTGCTTAACTGTATATGCACTAACAAAATCATTCAAATTCGTGTCAATTAAAATTAAATGTTAATATTCAAATAATTATTGTAAATTTATTTTTTTTATTATAATCATATTATTATTATTTTTTTTTCATTTATTTTACGCATTCAATTATTTTTCTAAACAACAAATACTTACTAGATCATTATTTTTGATAAATGCTTCGGCTTCTATTTACAATAAAAGTTTATTAGTTCAATTAATATAAGATTAACCATACACGATTTTGATAATAATGATTAATTAATTAATTAATTAATATAGTCTTATGAATATCATCAGAAATTCTATTATATTGATTCCAAATTATGATAAAGATTACAAAATTGATTTTCAAATATCATTCAAATTGCTTTATCAATTTTGGTGTAATTCTTCTCTTTTTTTGCCCTTGCGGTATTTCATATTCAGATTGATTCACTTCTGAAACGCCATTTCTTATTTGTTGCACAATTTCAGATATAAAGTTTTGTTCTTGTGATGATAATTTCTGTTGAAGTGGTTGTATATCGTTAACATCCTGTTTCGACATTAAGATGCTTGTTGTTTCAATTGAACCATTTTCCATCGAGTTATTTATTATTGAATAGTCAGGATGAGAAGTTAAACTAATAGGGACATTGTTATTATTATTATTATTGTTGTTGTTGTTGTTGTTGTTGTTGTTGTTATTGTTATTATTATTATTATTATTATTATTAATTGCATGGTATTCTGTGAAACGATCTCCCAATTCTCCATCATTAAATGTCATAATTGAACAATATCCATCTTGCGAGGCAAGCAAAAGAGAATTTCCATCTGATGACCTTATTTTAAGCAAAAAAAAAAAAAAAAGTTAAAAATACGTATAAAATTAAAGGTGAAATTAAAGTAATGAGTTTACCAGTCCAAATCTGAGATTGAAGCATAATGTAAATTTGTTGCCATAGCTAATGGACTATGTTGTTCAGTGTCATATATAAATATAGAATCTTGAGTCGCGACTGCATATATAACTCGATAAGGAAGATCAAACAAAGGTGGTATTTGATAATTGGAAGGCAGTTTCCCGTTTGGGTCATCATTGGAAAACTTTGAAGAACTATTATTCTTTGTTGAATCGACGTTATCATGTACTTGATATTTTAGTTTAATAAATCTTAATTTGTAAAGTACTGGACTACATTTGACAACAACAGAAGGTTTTTTATATCCTGGCAAGAGTGCAATTGGTGATCTAATGATAAATATATTATAAATATTAAAATATTATAATTTTATAAATATTAATAAATATTATAAATTATAAATATTATAAATAATATATATTATAAATTATAAATATTATAAATATCGTAAATATTATTATAAAGAATTTTATAAATGAAAAATAAATGAAAAATAAATAAATTTAATAAATTTAATAAATCTTACTTGTCTAATCTATTCCGAGCGAATAAATAAACTGTATTTTTCATAGGACTATTAATAATATTATTTTTCTCTTTGATTTTAATCATATCTATGACAGAATCCGGATATTGACCTGCTGGTGTCAATAAAAGTCCTCCATCAGGTGTAAAAGTTAATCGCCTGAAAAAAGTGTTTACCACTTCTTCACAAAACAAACGAAAATATTTTTTAGGTATTTTCGGAGTCTTGTCTATACAAACTTCTTTCTGATTGTGCGGAATTTCCATTCTATAATTTTTGCTAATATGCGTTGTTACAAAAGTTCCGTTGGGATGAACATTATAAGAATATATATGGACAGATCTAAAAAATAAAAAATTAAACTTTATACAAGTCATATGAATAATAATTTATGAATGTATGCATAAATTTTCATACAAGGATCAAACGATCAAATTACCGGTCACATCCTTGAGTAGCAATGTATTCTCCAAGAGGATCCCACGCAACCCCTTGAACATTTCTTATGTGATCCATCAAAATACATACGCACATAGCTGAAAAAAAAAAAGAAAAAAAAGAAAAGATAAATAAATAAATTAGAAAATAAATAAATATTTGTTCTGTACGTCACCATCTTTTACGCGCCAAATTCGTGCGGCACCCTCTGCGCAAGCTGCAATGATATATTCTCCGTCCGGAGACCATGCAAGATCTGTAATCTCTGAGAGTGAACCCCTATTTAAAAAAAATAAATTTTAATTATTCTTTGATGATTGATAATCAAGAAAATTCATATAGCAAAGACTTACCTAAGCAAAGACATTGCTTTCCAAGATTCAGAGTCATTAAATTCATCATCGTTATTTTCTCCGAAGGAATTTCTTGAATCATTGTTCTCTATTAGTTTCCATAAAAAAACAACCCTATCTTTAAAAAGTAAAGGAAATTAGTTATTAGTATAAATAAAAGATTTTAAACTTTTTCAATGAAAAATTATATGCATACCATCTCCAGCTGATGCCAACAAATCACCTAAATTTTTTTTTTTATTGAGAATAAATTAAATTCGAATTTTCTATATTTGAACGTGTTGAATAAAAATTTCTTTATAAAATACCTTTAGGTGAAAACCTGACCACATTAACAGGTGCGGAGTGACGATTTAAAGTTGACAAATATGCGGCGTAGGGTAACGATTTTTTATTTTTGACAAGCTTCCATATCTTTGAAAAAAAATTAAATATTTCTTTGTCAAAGAAAAAATTATTTTCACTTATTTCCGTTATTTGACTTACCATAACGTTATTATCCATACCCCCCGTTGCAAATCTCCCAGTCCTTCCTGGTTGAAAATGCACAGAATAAATGGCTACGGAATCTTTGTGCCAACGTATCTGAAGTGTTTTCGCTTTCATCGTTTTTTTTAAAAAAAGTTTAAAATTTTAGATTTTACGCGTCTATAAAATATTAAATCACATGATATTTCGATAAAGATTTTGGAAATTTTGGACAAGAATGAAGATCAAAAAAGTGATCTTGAAGAAAATAATAAGTAAAGAATCAATGTACTCAGTTTATACACTTATAGAGAATCTTTAGATGATAAAAATATTTGAAGGACATAACAAGAAACTAATATTAGTTTTATTATTATTTTTGAATTAATTATATTCACAAACTGAACATTTTGTATTTATACATTAAATAAATATCTCTAATTATGATAATTCAAGATCATATCTATCTAGATTTTAGAAGATTTAGGTTCACCAAAATATTTATCTCTTTGCATTTAAAGTATTTAAAATAGGTCTTTTGATTAATAATTATACACTCAAATGTGAATAATTTTTTAGTCTTTAAATTAAAAATTTTTATATTTCAGATTTATCTATCTTGATATCTTTAAAATTACAAAAATAAGTACTATTTTCTCAATCTAAATGTATTCTCAACTTTAAATGCTCCAAGAAATCAGAATCCATAACACTTTTTTTAAACGCAGCCCTACCTCTAAGAAAAGTTCATTGATAACAGTTCAACCTATAATATTCATTTGCTAACTGAGTAGAAAAAAAAAATCAATTAATTGTATATTATTAATTAATAATAATAATAATAAATCCTATTATTCAATCTTTCGCCTATAATCTCTATAATCTTTTGCCTTAAATATGTCCGAATCAGAATCATCAGAATTATCGGATTATGATGAATTGAATTATGGCGAGAGCGAGGATAGCGAAGAACAGGAAGAAAACAATAATTATGAGGTATCCAAATAGGATTCAAAAATATTTAATTTATCATTCAATTTTTATTAAACATTTGTACTTTGTTAGAGTATGGAATTGGATGAAATAGAAGAGGAAGAAGAAGAAGAAGCATTAGCTTTGAAAGAAGCTGGTCTCAAAGATAATATTAACGATAATAATAATAATATGCCAACCTCGACTGTGTTAACTATGGAGATGGTCACGAAATGGCAAGAATCCATCACAAAGGTAACAAAATAATGCAAATTTTAATCATAATAATAAGTTATTACTGATTTTTTAAGTCATTATTTATTCAATTAGTCACATTCATTAAGGTCATTGCAACGATTACTAGTGGCATTCCGTGCAGCAACAAATATTAATGATGATGAAAACGAGAAAACCTTTGCATTTAAAATCACAGACCCTACAGGTAAAATAATCATTATATTTAAATTTATTAGTATCAAATTATTATTATTATTATTATTATTATTTATTATTATTATTTATTATTATTATTATTATTATTATTATTTTATTAATTACCGTTTTTTTTTCATGTTCTGCACCAGTGTTTAATAATTTGATCGTAGTTTGCCTGAAATACGTTATAGAAGTTTTCGATCACCACTTGAAGAGAGAGAATCAAGATTTATCTAAAACGTAAGTAAATATATTATTATTAAAAGATAATATTATAGGAATATGAGTTAATTCATTTATTTAATTAATTATTTAATTGTTAAAATTAGGATGTGTACAAATAAGAAATGGAAAACATTAGAACCTCTTGTGAAGTCATATTTGAATACTATTATTCATATGTTCAAACAAATAACAGAAGATGATATGATTTACTTAATTGTGAAAGAATCAGAAAAAATAATTCCATATTATGCATGTTTACCAAAATTAGCAAATCATTATTTAAAGGTAATATAAATTACTGTTTAAATTATTTGCGTCAGATTAATATTTTTTTTAATATTTTTTGAACATTTAGCAATTGCTTGAAATATGGGGTACCGCCAAGGACAAAACCAGAATTCTAGCATTTCTTAATATTAGAAAACTAGCATCGATATCACCAGCACCATTTATAGATTTTTGTTTAAAGGTGAAAATGCTTTTAAAATTTTTAATTGAATTTAAATGAATTATGAATTTAAATTGATTAAATTAAATTTAATTAAATTAATTAAAATATGTAGGGTATTTACACTACATTTGTCCAATATTGTAAAGATACCACCCCTTTCACTATTCCGTCAATCAATTTAATGAGAAATTGTGCAGTTGAAATGTATGGAATTGATTTTAAAAGTTCTTATCAGTCCGCGTTTCGATATATTAGACAATTAGCTATTCATTTGAGAAATTCCAGTCATAAAAAGAATGATGTGAGTTGTTTGTTTGAATTAATGAATGAATAAATGAATTATTATATAAGATTTTCATAATTATTCCATATTTATATTATGTTATTTAGGAATCTTTCAACGCAGTATATAATTGGCAATATATTCATTGTCTTGATTATTGGTCAAATGTGTTGGCAACTTATTGTGATCAAGAACGAATATCTGGTGAAAATTCCTTTCAAGAATTAATTTATCCATTTGTGCAAGTTTCTACTGGAGTAATAAGGTATTTATTCTAGTTTTTATTTCTTATGCCTAGATTATTTTTACATTTTAACTAAATTCTGTACACTATTATTTTTCATAGATTAATACCAACGGCACAATATTTTCCCCTTCATTTTCATTGTATTCATTCTTTGATTCAATTGATTCAAAAGACCGGAACTTTTATTCCCCTTGCCCCTTATTTATTTGACATTTTACAATCTTCTGAAATTCGACGTAATCCCAAACCTACAACATTGAAACCATTAGATTTTATGATAATATTAAAAGCTCCCAAGAATTACTTACATACTCGAGTTTATCAGGTTTTTATCTTTTCTGTTTTCTTTACGAATAATGTTCTTTTTTTTTTTTTATTCTTTGTTTACTTAGAAAATATCATAATTTTAGGAGGGAATATACGAAAAACTTTTAGAACTTTTATTCGAATATTATTCATGTTTTTGTTCGTCAATAGCATTTCCTGAATTAGTGATTCCCGCTATAATTCAGGTTTGTATTTTCATAAACTCGTTACATTCATATCAACTCATGTCAACGTGTTATAAATCAACACATTACGTTAATTACATTGTTTAAATTTTAGATTAAACGGCATATCAAACATTCAAAAAATTTAAAATTCAATAAACAACTTCAACAATTGGTTGAAAAAGTGAGTATTAATAATTATTTTTAGTAAATATATATATGGTATCAATAAATACTTATTCTTCGTTCAATTAACAAAATAGTTGGAACAAAATTCTAAATTTATTGAACAACATCGATCACAAATTGATTTTAGTCCGAATGATCATGCTCGAGTGGTAAAACCATTTTCTTTATTGAATCAACTTTTTATTCGATTTTATAATAAGATTTATTTCAATCCACAGAGTGCATTTTCACAAAATATGAATCAAGATTCAACACCACTAGGTTCTTATGTTAAATCTAATAGAAGACTGAAAGAGAAAAAAGAAAAGATGATTAATTTGGTAAATGTTGACTTTTAACCATTTATGACTTATAATATTCCATAATATTTGCATAATATATATATATCCCATAAATTCTCCTGATGATAATTTTTTTTTTGTTAAATTTTAATAATAATTTTTAATAAATTTTTATAATATTATAGGAAATGCAAGTTAATTATGCAGATCAATCCTAATAACTAGTAGTTATTTGTCAAGTTTTGTTTTTGTCAGTTTTACATTATTTAATTTAACTATCAACATGAAAGGGAATGTTATAAAGTAGTTAAAAAATTAAAAGCATATGTTATTTTACAATTACATTATTGTCTACTGTAAAGAAAATTCAAGTGGTATTAGTGAAAATTACTTCATTCTATTATACTAAAATGAGCCAGTTATTATTTGGTGAATTATAAAACTGTAAGTACCTTCTGCTACATATTATTCATCACTTTTAAACTATTATTGTATAAGAGCCTTGAAGGTCTCTTTTGTATTCTTGATTTTTCAAACTCTTCTTTAACTTCTCAAGCTAATAACTAAATTATAATTAATTTGTTAATATAAGTTATTTGTTATAAATGATAACTCAATTAAAGAATACTTACTATTCACTTTATAATGCATTCATAAAGTAAACAAAATCAGTATTTCTGTAAAATCACTATATTATCTATCTCATTAAGAATATAAAATTCCTTTTTTTAGTACCTTTCACTGGTTGAAATGGCTAAAGGAAAGTTTTATTATTATTATTATTTTAAAAAAATGAATTAAATTTCAAATTAAATTTAAACATTTCTAATTTTTTAAATTATAGTAATATTATAAAAACAATTAAAAAAATAATATTTTTGAAAAATTATTATTGTAATATTAATAAGATATATGTAATTAATAAAAGGAACAATTCTTATTAATATAGTAAATAATGTTAAACCCAAGTTTTCAAGAAAATATAACATTTATATAATATATTTATCATTAAATATATTGGATAAAATAAATTTCAGAATCTGATTCTATATATAAGTAAAATTGAAAAAATCATATAATTAGTGATTTTCATAGAAATTATAAATTTTTATTTGTTACTATTCTAAATAAAAAGTTAAAATTTACTTTTTTACAAATTAATTAATTTCAATACATAATATTATTAAACTAAACATGAATTTCATTACTTATATTATTATTAAAACATGTAAAGTTAAAAGTGGTGCATTAATTTTGAAAACTACTGTATATTTCCAAAATAAAATGGGTATTTTAACTATCTAAGATTTTTGAGACATCTATTCAATATATGGAAATAAAAAAAAGTATCTAGTCTAATATATTTTTAATCAAAGAATTTATCTGTAATCAAAAAATTTTGGGTTTTAAGTAAAATAATTTTGTCTTCTATGAAAAACATTTTATTTTATCCTCCAAAACTGTATGAAATTTGATTTCAGGTGCAAGTATAGTTCAAAAATTGTAATTTGCTTGAATTCTGGACTTTTATTTTTTATATTGTATATTAAAGTTAATAATGTAATAGATGAGGTATGAACAATACTATGATCACTGATCCATAACTACATAATTATGCTTCCATTGCAATATTTTTATCTGAAAATTATTCCAAGATAAAGATAATGTGAAGCATTGAGTTTTTAACTCCTGAATTATATTTTCAGAATACACTTCCAACACTTCATTTGATTTTATCGAAATGCAAATAATAATATTTATTACCTTGATTATCTATTATTTAAACTCGTACATAGTGGACAACATCGAACGAAACCCCTGATACCATCTATGTGTAGTTAACTTTTTTCTAATATCTTCTTGAATAAAAAGAGCTTTGGAGGGCATCAAATATTTTCAATACTAATTTAAATAAAATGATATTTCTATTGCTTCGCGAAAATATTTCTTTTGTCAGATGCATCTAAATATTACAGGGGGGGAGGTAATTTTCCTCCAACTTTAATCTTTCTGCGAGGGTTATAATTAAGTCAGCTAACCACTCTCCAAATTAAATCGTCTAGTGATACAGGCCCATTATGTTAAGTTTAAAAAAAATAAATAATTATCTTTTACACATATATTTTAAAGTGAGCATAAAATGACTTCAATTGAAAAAGCAAACAACTTGTTAGTTGATTTACATGTAAAATACATTCAATCTCTTGATACGGTAAATATATGTAAATATATGTAAATATATATATATAAAGTGTATAATAATAATAAATAAATAAATGATAATATATTTTTATATTAGAAAAAAGATGATTTAGAATATTGGTTTACAGAACATCTTCGTCTTAGTGGTGTTTATTGGGGCTTAACAGCTTTAGATTTATTGAAAAATGTTAACATGCTTAATAGAGAAGACGTGGTGAAGTATGTGGTTTCTTGTCAGCATGAAAATGGTAATTAATTGAAACTTACCAATTGAATCAAATAAAGAATTTAAATATTAATTATTTATATTAATTATATATTTTAATTATGTAATTATATTAATATCTTTTAGGTGGATTTGGTGGACATATTGGTCATGATCCACATTTGACACATACTCTTTATGCTGTACAAATTTTGGTTATTGAAGATGCTTTAGATTCTGTTAATACTGAGAAGATTATAGAATGTAAGATAATATATATATAAAATTTATATTATATTATATTATATTTAATATTATTAATATATTGATATTTAGATATATTCTTTGCAAACAGAATAAATTGATATAATTAAATTATTTAATATTTAAATTATTTAAAGATGTCAAATCAAGACAAGATCCCCAAACGGGGGCATTTACTGGTGATGAATGGGAAGAAATTGATACTCGATTCTCTTATTGTGCAATTTCATGTCTTTCTTTATTAAAACGTTTAGATGCAATAGATGTTAAAAAAGCTATTGAATTCATTATGCTTTGTAAAAATTTTGATGGTGGATTTGGTAATACTCCTGGAGCTGAATCTCACGCTGGTCAAAGTATGTATTATTTTTATTTTTTTTTATTAATAAATTTATACAGTGAATCCTCTATAAATGCACCCCCCGGGGAATCAGCATTAGAGTGCATTTGTAGAGGGAAATTTTATAAGTGTTATTAGTAGATGGGACTAGAGTATAGGGTGCATTTATAGAGGGTGCATTTATAGAGGGTGCATCTTATAGAGGGTGCATTTATAGAGAGTTCACTGTATTTATTAATGTATTTTTTTTAATATAATTTTATATTTATTAAAATATAATTTCAATTTAAGTCTTTTGTTGTGTTGGTGCATTGGCAATTGTAAATTCTTTACATTTGGTTGATGCAGATTTACTTGGTTGGTGGTTATGTGAAAGACAATTGAAAAATGGAGGATTGAATGGAAGACCTGAAAAACTTGAAGATGTAAATTTATTTACTATTTATTATTTACTTTCTTTATTCTTAATATTTTTTGTAATATTCTTTAATATTCTTTATAACTATTAGATATGTTATTCTTGGTGGGTATTATCAGCATTAAGTATATTAGGTAGATTACATTGGATAAATAAGAAAAAATTAATTGAATTTATTTTAGCTGCACAGGTAAGTAAAATAATAATAGTAAAAAAAAAATAATAATAATTTATAATAATAATAATTTGCTTTAAAAAAAAAGGATCCAGAATCTGGAGGAATTGCTGATCGACCAGGTGACATGGTTGATGTATTTCATACTCTTTTTGGAATTGCAGGTTAGTTCTATTTAAAATAATATTGATTAATATTAAATTCATCAGGAAAATTAATGAGGTAATATTATGGAAACCTACATAAATTTACATATAATTACATAAATATTATGTAATTTTACATATGTGATCATAATTTATACAGATCATATAATATGCAATTTTATATAATATTATATGTGTAAATTTTATATATATTATGTATACACATCCAAATTAATTTTGGTATAATAAAATAATTTAAAATTTGGTATTAGTAATTGGGATTTGGATAACATGTATAATATTACATGGCTCATGTAAAATTATGCAAAATTATGTAATTGTATATAAATATACATAGGTTTCATAATGGTGTATAATATTACATCTTATTAATTTTTCTGATGTTACAATAAATTTTGATTTTAATTTTTTTGTTATAAATAGGATTATCATTGTTAGGATATCCAGACTTAAAATCAGTTGATCCAGTTTATTGTTTACCAAAATATGTTGTTCAAAGAATTGGTTTAGCAGAAAGATATCATGTGTAATTGTATAGTTTGATAACATTTTTAAATGTAATCATCACATTTGAAAATAAAAAAATAATACATTGAAATAAAAGTTTATTGAATTTTTAATTATTATTTTAGAAAATCTTGTAGTTTATTTATTGATAAATTTGTTATAGAGATCCTAGATTCTCACCTAATTTGTAACAAAGATTATAAAAAGAAGAGATTATAAATTTATTTTTGTTATAAATAAATAAGAATATAACAAATATATATCACAAACTATTAAAAATTCTCAAAGCTATTAAAGTTAAAATTAAGAAATCATTACTTTGCTAAAATTGACATTTTTAAAAAAATATTACTGGAATATTCTCATCCTCACAATATTAAAAAATATCACAAGGATATCCTAGTAATGATATTACAATTGTTATAAGACAATTATATTTTTATTATAAAGTTATTCTCATAACATTTTTTAATATCACCAGGATATTTTTGAGATTTTTAAAATATCATGGAAATATTGCTAGAATATTATTTTTTATCTTTTTGATATCATCAGGATATTATTTATTTTATACAATATCAAAATGATATTATTTTATATCAAAAAGATATCACAGAGATATCATAAAAATATAGTAAAAATATCATGATTATAATAATTTAAAAAATATCAATATAAAATTATATAACAATAGCAAATTATTTTTATTATTATTATTTTATATATATAAACATCAGGAAATTTTTACTCAAAAATATATGTAGATATATTTGATATAACGTACAAATTAATGTAAATAAATGTGAATTAATGTGAATTAATGTAATTTATGCAGATAAATGCATGAATGGTCAAATATATCCAGATATATTTGTCTTCAAAAATTTCCTGATGAAGTTTTAAAACTACTTAAAGTTCAAACCAGAAAAAATAAATATAATATTTTTTAAAAAAAAATACTTTCCAATACAAACTTTATAAATTATAAATCTTGCAAACTCACAAAAACAATTTCAAAAAAGAAAATAATCTAACCTATGAATCCAATTTCAAAAAAAAAAGTAAGTATTAGAGATCTTCAAATTATATTTGGAATACTTTTCTAAGATCAAAATCTGGAAATCAGCAGATGTGTATAAATTATTATTATTGAACTATGTATAATAAATGGTAATAAATTAAATAATTAAATTAAGCATATATCATTAATAAAAATAATAATTTAAATCCATCAGCAAAATAACAGGTTATATATTTATTATTACAATAATCATATACAAAATTATCAATTGTTGCTACATATAAAACTTTTTATATCATAAGAAATTTTAAAAACGTTACTAAGTAATCTTAAAGACAAAAATTAATTACATATTATATTAAAAGAATAGACTTATATCATTAAAATTGAGCGAAATATTATTATTTTAAATTTTTTATCCATTCGAAATTTAATTACCAATTGTTAGATCAATTTTAATGATATAGGTCTCAACTTTTTATAAAAGATGCAAATTATTCTCACCTTTGAGATTACTTAGTACTATTTTTAATATCTACTTATAAAATAAAAAAGTTTTATATATATACAAGATAACATATGATATAGTTTAACTCCATTGGTCCTATTGACTCATTATTGACTTGAGCAATTCAAGTCAAGCTGAACTGCAAATTGACCGACTTGAAGTCAAACCAACTGATAACTTGAAACCCCCAAGTCAAACCAGTTTAGCCTCATCAGTTTGGTCCAGTCCAATTTGACTTAGACTTAACAACACTAGTAACAATTAACACTTATCTGAAACTCTGATGAAGAAAACTCTTCTACCACCAAAGATCCAGAGTTTGAACAACCTTTTACTGAAGTGAAATTATGACTTCAGTAAGAACGTACTGACATTATATTTACGAAGTCAAAGCAGATGGAGATCCAACACCCCAAACCTTTGATCAATATTATAATTTTCTTGAACAAGACCACCTCATAGATGATGAACTCGAACAACTATATACAAAAGTAACTAGAGACCTTGAACTCCATCTCAATCTAGATTAACACATTTCTAAATTTATCACTATCATTAGTGTCATCTGAAACTATATCCTCTCAACTATTTTTTTCTTTTTTCTTAAGAATTAATTATATAATTTCAATAAAATAAAATGTGCTAAAGAATTAAAAGTTGATCAATTAATAAATTAAAGATAATGTACACTGTCTAATAAATCAGTCAACACATATTAATGTATAAAATAAATGATAATTCAAATAAAAATTCATTGTTAAAAATAATTGTAAATTTTAACAAATAATCGATTCTTATCAGCATCACTACTCGTAACTATAGCTGTACTTTGTATGATGCAAATCTTGTTACCACTACACAGAAGGACAAAAAATTCTACATTACAAATAATAATAAAAAATATATATGCATTCATAAAATATATAAGCATTAGAATATATAAACATATCTACAAAGATTATTTACTCCAGACTTACAACGGTTCCCGTTTCCTAAAATTTAATATTGCTTAACTTGATCAATATGAAAAATAAAAAAAGTTCGACTCAGTTGAAAGAATGGTTTTAAATATCGATGAATACAGAAATCCAGAAAATATAACGTATTAAATAGTACACCCCAATGGCCTTTTAACTTATTAATTAGTGGGCAAACCAGGTCAAGAAAAACTAATGAAGCTATCAACCTTTTACTATGTTACGGTATTAAAAATGATGATTTAGTTTTGATCGGATACCAAATTAATGAACCCAAATATAGATATCTTCGAGATTGTTACATTTAGGGCAATGAAACCTGATAAAATACCAAAGACTTTTACATGTGTGCCCTTTTTTTGGGAGAGCGTCCGCGGCATGCATATGTAGTAGTTGAGCTGTGCCCTGTGCTACATACATGGGGAGAGCGCCCGGACATAGAGCATCCGCGACATGCAGTTAGGGAAAGTTCCGACTTAATATTTTTTGCTAATTTTTTTTTTCTCAAATTAATCAAATTTTAGAAAGAAAATATCCAGATAAAGAAGTAGAATTTCTGCAATAATCAAATACTGTCAAAGTCTTAAAGAAATGCAAGAAAACCATATTGATGAGGTTTCTCAGTTAGGGAGGCATCTTTCTACACTTTTAAAATGGTCAGTTATAGATAGAAAGCTTTTTGAAATACATGTAACTCCATTGACTATTTTGAGACCTGCTCTCCATCTTAATAACCTCAAAGTAATACTTGAAGAAAATCCTGGCATACAAACCGATAATATTCTGGATGTATTGATTGAAAGTGAAAAAATCGGAATAGTCCAAACGAAAGGGTGGAATGGCTTAGCATAAAAAAGCAAATCATAATGATTAATTTTATTCAATAGATACTTATACAGCACTGTCAGCAATAATGTCAATACTCCTTTATAACTCAGTTCAATGTCGGGGACTTGGTAGCCACCCATTAGAAGCTAATATAAAGATTCAGATGTGGTTAAAAATCTTAACAGAATTGTTTGTTTTGGATCAAATTCGATTCGAACCAGTCCGAGAGCTTAACCACCTTATTCCTGGAAATGCTAAGGAAGGTTCGAAACAATGACATTCTCATTGTTGAATTTGAACAGCATGATTTTGAGGTGTGATCAGACCAATATTTAATAATGATCAGACAACGGCATTTTTTACATATGATCGGGACATTGTGTCTTACAAAATTCAAACAGGTTGCCAACTTGATAATGTAAAGAATGTTCTTGATTTAATAGTATATTTTTGGCAAATTGTATGCAGAGATGGACTAATTATCAAGAACTTCATGGAAAAATTGGCAACCTACTATAATCGAAGTATTTTGAAAACTCCCAAATGTAGCAGAAAAATTTCGAGAAGTGAACACTAAGATAAAACCTAGGAAAAAGCGGGTCAAGTATATATACCAATGGAATGAAAATCTTGTTTCATCAAGATCAATTGGACAAGTGTGAAAAATAAAAATTTAATTGATGATATAAGCGTTCTGAAAATCTGCCATACCAAACGTGTCGTGAAACATACCTGCGATCTATGTTGCTTCGGTCGATTTTGCTATGTTTTCGTGCATTGTATTGATCAAAGAAATCCCTTTTCCTCTTTGATCCCGTTATAATACTTTTAGCAATTTTAATTAAATATTAATGTATATTTTTTCTTCGAACGTAATTTGATATCTGATAATAAATTTTTATGTATCACAAATTGTCATAATTGTAGATCGTTCTAGAATCATCGCACAAATGTTGATTATTCCATATATATATCAAATCCCGTTTTGGAAATATACCTGACTGCAATGAGAGAACTGATTATCAATAATGAAAATGTCGATTAACGCGAATTATACTGATTGGAACGTAGACCATACAGAATCGTCAAGGAGAAAGAATAATGACAAGGATCTTCGGCAACGAAAGAGAGAATTTATTAATAAACTTCGACACGCACGAACAATAGAAGAACAATTAGTCGAGTTTTCTGAAGTTCCACGAGTTTTAGAGGAGAATCCAATACCAGATATTATTCAACTTGCGTTAACTTTTCTCGCTGAACGTTTTAAAACTTGGTAAAAATAAAGATAAAAATAATAAATAAATTCTATTGCTTTAAAAATTATAGTATTTTATTGATATTTTATTATTACAGTGAGAATAATAAACTTCGACGATGTATAGTGGAAGTATTTAAAAAAACAAAAACTTGCTTTACCCAAAGTAATTATTCGGTTTTTGAACAAGTTGTTAAGAATATATTTTTTCTTTTGGAGAATCAAAATACTGATCCCGAAGCTCGCTCACTTTCTCTAAGGTTTACTTTTCATTTTTTGATATTGGTTTTTGACATTGATTTGATATTGATTTTTGATATTTATTCATTAATGGACAATAATATTTTTACAGAGCTCTTGGGTGTTTGTCAATTTTATTAACAGATAATATAGACATTCACACTGGGTAAATAAATAAATAATTATAATTTTAATAATTTTAACAATTAATTATTAAAAAAATTAAAATATATTTTTTAGAATACTTCAACGTCTTGATTCAAAAGTAGAAATTGAAGCTAATGCGGCAATTTATGCAGTAGACAAAATATGTTCCAAATCTCAAGCATTTGCAACTCTTACGTGTGATAAATTAGCCATAAAACTCCAATGTAATCTAATTTATCACACATAATTAATACAAATTTTTCAATAAATTCTATTATTCTGAATATATTCATTTTTTTTGTTTGTTTGTCTTATTTAAAGCCAAAGAAATTTCTGAAACATTTAAATTAAAATTAATTCGAGTTTTACGTCATATGCATTGGGAAGCCAATTTGGCTCATAAGGTATATTAAATATAAATATAATAATTTACATTCTAGAACATAAATATTAATATTGTATAATCATTTATTTAGACTCGATGTATTTGTTTGGAATTGCTGGAAAACGAGACCGATGAAAAAGTAATATTGACGATATCCAAAACCTTAACATATTTATCATGTCGGGCACCTAGTGATAGTTCAGAACAAGTTAATTATGATTATGTAACAATTGTAACAATTAAATTTGATATTTCTTAATTAATATTTCAAAAAACGAATTATAACAACATTAAATTTTTTATATTTCTTATTTTATAATTCCTTATATAATTTCTTATAAAATAATTTTTATATGATTCCCCTTATAGATTGATTTATTAATTATATATGTGAGCAATTGCTCATATGAAAATGTGAAAATTAGCGCATTAAATGATATCATGAAATTGACACGTGTTAAATCTATATTTGAAGTTTCGCAAGTTTTGGTAATTTAATTTAATATTTTAATTCTATTATTTTAATTCTATTATTTTAATTCTATTTTTTATTTAAATATTTATTTTTAATATCGTTTATTTAAATATATTATTATTAAAAAAAATATATTTTTTTTTTTAATATTAAAATTAGAAATTATTAAATTTAGTAAACGGAACAACAGAAAAGAACGTTAAAATCAAATTATTTCGTATTCTGACATTCTTATTTAAACAAAGAAAAATTTTGGCAGGAATTATGTCATGCATTTCAGATAAAAATGCTAGAATAGAAGCAATTTGTTATATGCAAAAATATATAGAATTAATTCATCCATATTGGGAAGAAGTAGCTGTGATTACTGTCAAATTTTTTATTGCAATACTTAATGAAGCAGAACGTATAGAAGAGACTACTTCACATTCTATTGGAAATGAATGGGGTGAGTTTATATATATATTAATTGTATATTCAAATATTCATTATATCACTAAATTATTCACATATTCATAATTTTAGCTGTATATTTCAATGATCTGCTCTTAAATGTCCCAGAGTTAATATTAAATATAATTCGTAACCTCTTGCAGACTTTGATTATTGGACAATTAGATCAAATAGTGTTAAATAAATATAAAATAATTGTAAGGAATATTATTTATTATAATAATTATATTAATTATTATTTATTAATTAATTTATCATTTATTAATTAATTATTAATTATTAATTTATTCTTAATTTATTCTTAATATTTCTTAATATTTCTTATATAATTATATAATAATATAATAGATTAAGGAATATCTTAAATGTTTATTTGCAATTAGTTTATCATATGATCGGCTTGCAGTCAATATTTACAATTCAATTATTGGAATATTATATGAATATTTACAAGTAAAAAATGGTATTTAATATATATTTTTTTTATGTTTAATAACATTTTCATATTTTTTATGTTGTCTAATAATATTTTATCAATAATTTATTAATAAAAATTTATATTTTCAGATGAACTTTTTGCTGAAGTTTCTAAAGTTATCTTGATGGCCAGTGAATTAAGAGGATCCATAACGCAGACATTAAACAATAAAATACTTGCAATTATAAAATATAAAGAACTTTTACAAATGCCAAAGTCATTCGTAAGTTTCCGCCTTTATTTTAGTTTATTTTTATTTTAATTCATTTTTATTTTTATTTTAATTTATTTTTATTTGATTTTAATTCATTTTTATTTTATTTTATTTTATTTTTATCTTATTTTATTTTATTCTATTTTATTTTATTTTATTTTATTTTATTTTATTTTATTTTTATTTTACTTTATTTTCATTTTATTTTATTTAAATTGAATAATTATGAAATTGATAAAATATTAATATTTATATTTTTTATTTAGTCCATTATGGCAAAGGTAATTCTAAGAACACACTCATTCGAAGTAGCAAAATCAGAAGAATTTCAAAATATGTTTATTCAATTACTTAAAGAATTCGGGCAATGTTCTAAAAATAGAAGTAATCAATGGTTAATATATTTAATTGGGGTTGAAGCTGGAAAATCTGGATGTTGTAATATTATGGCTAGCATTATGAATAATTTTATTGCTGAAGTAATTTAATTAATATTTATTTTATATATATTTATATGTATATATATATATTTTATTTTTATTTTATTTATTTATTTTATATTTATATCTTTATTTTATATTATATTTTATATATTTTATACTTTAGGTTGATGTAGATTCAATACGTAATTGGTTTAGAGCTTTATATAATGTTGGATCTGGTGGTAATTACATAATGATTTCGAAAAACAAAACACAAATGCAATCAAAAGATGTTTTTGATTTAATGGGTGAATCTATTCGTCATTATAGTATATGTGATGCTGAATTAAATGTAAGTATATTTAAGATATACATCTAAAAATTATATTTAAGTATAAATAAACATTTGATAATCAATATTAAATATTATTTTTTATTTTTTAATTTTTTATACAGGGATTTATGTCATTGACGGATACTTGTAATCAAAGATTTTTTTCCAGATGGTATTGTCAACTTCGTTGCAATTATTTGTCTACAATGAGGCTTCTTTTGGAAGAAGCCACTAAAAATCCAGGTGACACATCAAGTTTTGATGTATCGATGGTAAATTATTAACTTATTAAATTCTTAATTCTATTAAATTATAATTGAATTCTATTAAATTTTATTAAATTATATTGAATTCTATTAAATTCTATTAAATTATAATTGAATTCTATTAAATTTTATTAAATTATATTGAATTCTATTAAATTCTATTAAATTAGAAATTTATACATGTTGAACTAATGAGAACAGCGGATTTGCATAGTTTCGTGGCACGTTCATTTTTTGATATTGATGAAGATAGTTTAGATATTTTGGAATCATATCCTTTTCTTTGATATACAAATTAATATTACAAGTATTACAAATGAATATTATTTTATTTACAATTATATATCAATATATATTATATCTTAATGTAAGAGAATACACTCCAAATATCTTGTCTAGCTTTTTCGCATGTAGTTCAATGTCTTACCATTGAAGACGAAAAGTGGCATAATAAAACTGCCGTAATTCCATTTTTTCCACTGACGACAAATGAAGGTAATCTAAACAATATCGACCTTCAATTAAATGAGATGATACAGAAAAAAAACAAAGTACATTCTATTTTGCGTGAACGTAGCACTAATATGTGTAAAGAGATTGTATCATTGTTAAAGAAACATTCAAGTGTTACAAAGGTTAGTAATATTAATATAATAATATTAAATAAATAACAACAACAACAACAACAAAAATAATATGTTAATAATACAAATAGGAAGTTCTCTCAGTTATATACAATTATTTATTGGATATACTAAGCATTCCAGTAAATATACCACCATTTTTCTTTAATAGGCAGAGAGGAACTTATCTTCAAGTTTGTTGATATTTCATTCATTCATTCGTTTTTGTTTTTTATTTTTAATAAATTTTCATCTAATTATTGTAAATAATTGATTTTTTTTTTTCTTCTGTTCTAAGTGGCCTAAAATGCCTACCATTGAAGTAATTTACGATTCTCAGACAAAACCGGATGAACCACAATTTGTTTTAAAGTTAGAAGGAGTTGTGAATCCAAGTCAAAATTCTAGTAAAAATTATATTAATATTATATTCATTTATTTTATAATCATTTATTTTATTATATTTATTTTTTATTTATTTATAGCGAGGAAAGTGAAAAGTCTTCAATTTATCATTTTTTGTTCAAATGAGAATTTCTTAGAATTTGCAAATCCTGAAGATACAATATATGATAATTATGTTATATCAGAAATTGCATTAAAACATTTTAAAGAAAAGGTATTTTTTTCATTGATATATAATAAATAAATATTAATATTTTTGATATTTTTATTATTATTAATTTTTATAATTATTTTAGGATCCCACCGTGACAACAATTTATAATCACCCACTTAATACATTTAATAGCAATTCGTTCGTTTGCAACATTACTCTTACACTTAAATTAATTAAAAAATATTTAAATATACATATTAATTTGGTTGATTTTAATGATGAATCTTGGACAATAGGACCTGACTTGTAAGTTAATAATTAATTATTGAATTAAATTATTTATATATTTAATTTATTTATTTATTATATTTAATTCATTCATTTATAACATTTAATTTATTTATTTATAATATTTATTATATTAAAGGAGAATACAAGTACCAGATTTTTAAATTGCATACATTCCATATTATAATATATTTACTATGTTTTGTCCCATAGTTGATGATCGCGTAACCTAATGTGATATGATAATAATAATAATGATAATTAAAAATTTAGTAACTCATGAAAGAAATGTACATTCAAATAATAAATTAATACCCCACTTTTACTTACAAATAATCTATTATATTAATTCTTTTATTGTTTTAAAAAAAAAAAAAACTTGGTTTTTCGAAACATGCGATTGGAAAAAAAACATTTATTAATAGATACATTTCCTGAAAATGTGTTTGTATACCTTTTTAAAAATGAAGAAACATTCAAATATAGTCCTACTAAGCGTAAATATCAATGTAATTTTGAAGGATATACTGGAATAACAATTGTCAAAGAATTGAATTTATTAAATTTTTAAATTTTTAAATTTCAGAGAATGTTAATAATGGATAACTTTGTTGTATGTTGTGAAAGATGCAAATTTGTTTTTATCGACATATTCATAAGTACTTTTTAAAAAAAAATAAAGATAAATGTTTATAAATAATTTTATATGGAACATATTATTGACAAATTCGTATACAAAGAAAAGATCTCAGTTATTAGGGTTAAGATAACCTTAATAAAAGTTTCCCCAGCATAAATGCGCAGAAATGTTGTTTTTACAATAGAAAAAAAAATTTTTATTCTATAAATTATTTTTAAGAGAAAACTTAAACTGACCCCAGGGTTTAGGTCATTTATTCTAGACCCCCGGAGTTTAGGTCATTTTGTCTAGACCCTTTCTTAATTTATAAATATCAAAGTTAAATTTTAGTTGTACAACCCATCAAATAAATAATCTTTGTTTATTTTGT